TTAAGATTTTTTTGTTGATAAAGCGGTTTTAATGGATATTTTGCTAGAATTTATGTTAAATGATAAGAAATAAAAAAACTAGATTGCAAGTTAAAGCCACTCCAGCGCGTATTTTGTCCTACACGACATAACATAATATCAACATTCAACAAAATTTTCTAGAAAAAATGTTGAATATTATCATATTTTTGTTGCTTGTGTAAGGCTAAACATGGACTGGAGAGCCGGCTTAAACTTAAGTGATTTGTTGCCAAAAAATTGTGAAAAATAATTAGTACAAAAAATATGGATGAGGATCTTTTTTAAAAAAATACTTTTACTTAGATATTGTTGCTAATAACTGTAATAATTGGTATTTCAAATAATAATTTAACAGAAAATTAACAAATTGAAGCGAATATAAGCATTTATTTAAATTTAAATAGGTACAACGTACACGGTCCAAGGTACATCTGGTTTGTTGTACCTAGGACAGTTTTCCCTTTTTTTTTCTAGCAGCTAGTATGCCCAAATTTTTAAAATTATACACAATTTTATGAATGAATTATGTAGTTAATTAAATGATCTTTAAATATAACTGCACTAGACAAGTTTCCCTATCACCATTATTTTTCAAAAAATCAAAGTTCGAAAAACTGGCCTAAGTACAACAGGTTCCCCTACTCGTATTAAGTACAAATATGAGGAGTTACTCTCGAGCAAATAATACTAGTGCCAACTAAAATAAAAGATTTAGTTACGAGAATTTTGCCAAATAACACTATTTGACATCTAGGTCAGTCTGTCTTATAAAATAAATTATGTGAAAATTGTAATTATTTTTGTTTAGGACTGTACGTTTTTTACAAGGAAGGAAATATTAAGGTAAGTAAAAGTTTGCTTGTCACCACCAGTATTAGACAAAAGGTAAAAAATGATCTCTTTAAAAAAACTCACTGTTAGCTTGCCTTACTATATTTTGTTATGTAGGGAAAACATAATAAGCTGAAGAAGTTTAAATCAAGAAAATTCATAAATACGTAATACCTAGGGCTACACAGTTTTAAAGCCCAAGCATTGCTTTTATTTACCTAGATAATTAATCATTTTCTTTGAAATTGAATTTATAAGACAGTCAGTTCTAAAAAAGTTATAATACAGAGATGGTACTTTATCAAAATGTAATGCATTCAACCAGAATAAACTATTCTCTAACCAACTTTGCGTAACTTAAGTTTAAAACTATTGTGGTGAGCATGTTTGAAGTACTTTTACTTTTATAGCAACTGAAGCTACACCCTCTAGATTCTAGAATCTACGTGAATAGAACCTGTCTAGAAACAAAAAAAAACCCTGTCACATAAAAAAAGGTTTAGTAAATTGTCTATTTAGGACGAAAAGATTACCGCCCGCGTACGTAACTGCGCGAGGCTTAGTGGATTGTGACGTACTCCCGATTAAGCGGATTCCGGTATCGCTCACGTGGATTGAGATTCCCAAACAACTTGCTGGAGATTATGTAACACTAGCCTGTGACCACTAATAAAAACAGAAATATATAAAAGTTTGTTAAACCAACTACAATATAATTCGCTTTGATCACTTGCAGGGTGTTCAAACGGTTCAGAGAGGTGAACCCTGAGCTGGTGCCTAAACGGATGACGGAGAACCAGGCACACACTATAGCGGTGCCGGTGGAGGAAATTGAAAAACTACCTGAATTAAAGGTAAGAAGGTCCGTTAAACTAAAACAACCTATTAAAACAGTTACCTATCTTTGTTTATTAGCTACCTGGTTCAAAACGCTCAACCTAATGAAAAAATGGGACAAAATGTAGGTTAGGATTATTTACCTACTCTTTTTTTGTCCCAAACGCGGATTTCATATTATATAACAATATCCAACGTTCTTTAAAGATGTACCTTATCTTATCCTTCATCATTTACGATGTTCTGCTTTCCCCTTTTCCCTTTTTGATTCAAACTGTCACCCCCGAGCTGTCTCACTATAAAACCGTCTAAATTACGTCGTTCTAACTTATTATGTTTGGGAGGTATAAAAGGTACTCCCACAATAGATTAATCCCAGCAGTTACATTATTATCGTGGGTGTACAAATAAGATTTATCTATGAAAGTTACATTATCATTATCAACATTGTCTGCTGGTATGTTTTCAGGAGAATCCTTTCAAGCGGCGCATCTGCCAGGTGTTCTCCCACGACGGTTCTGGCAACCTGACGTTCGAGGACTTCCTCGACATGATGTCGGTATTCAGCGAGGCCGCACCGAGGGATATCAAGGCTTGGTAATATTTCTCCTTCATATTCTTATCATTATCATCGACATTTCAGCCATAGGACGTCCATTGCTGAACATAGGCCTCCCCTAATGTTTTCCACAACCGTCATAGTTTTAAACCAGGTTCTATTAAACACATAGCTCTATATAAGTAGAGAAGAAAAGCTTGGTAATACGATTCTTAAGGTCATGGTCTAATTTAACGCACGACTCCGCTTAAGTATACGATGTAGTAGAAATAAATTGCTATTAGAAAGGACCCAAGAATTTTCTTTAATTGGGTAAATTTTGTTTGGTCCTTCGTAATCTAAGAACCTGGAAGTACCTAACTAGTTCATCAATACATAACCATTACCAAATTAAGTCTCGAGGTATAGGGTCAGCTAGTTACCCAGAAAGCTAGTAACATAAATACCTAACCGACCTAAGTAGGTACCTACTAGACTTTAATCATAGCCATTAAAAAAATGTTATCTTGAAAAAACTTGTTAAAGACCCTGTAAGGAATTCTATGCATGTCCATTCTTTGTCCAGGTACGCCTTCAGAATCTACGACCTCGACGACGATATGTACATAGGTCGAGAAGACCTTCTAGAAGCGACGCGCCTCCTCACAAAAGGGGAGCTTCACCCCCAAGAGAGGGACGAGATAGTGGCCAGTGTGCTGGACGAGGCTGACGTGGATGGAGACGGCCGACTCTCCTTCATGGACTTCGAACACGTGGTCGTACGCGCCCCCGACTTCCTCTCAACCTTCCATATCAGAGTTTGAGATAAACGTTTTTCATGTTATTATAAATTGAGTTTTATTTCGCGTAAAGACGTGTTGTCGATCAATATCACATCGGCCTAAACATATCTGATGCAAAACAGCACACACTAACAAGCCATAAATAAGCATTAAGCACATTCTATGAATGCTTACCTTGTTGTATACCGTGGCTATGGTTCTTCTCATTTCATTTCTATTTGCTGTCTGCATACGAGTACTCTGAATGTAAGTTGGTTTGAACAGTTGAACACATCCCGTTCGCTATTTGTAGATAGTAAACTGTGATCTCAGTTACAGCGAGCAGATTTATATTCGGAACTTCCAGCTAAAACACAAGATATTAATTTAATTTAGTAAGTTCCATTTTACGCTGTATTTATTTATTTTTATTTTATTTATTGTAGAAGAACATACAATTGAAACCAATAACTAAAAAACTTGTTATGTACTTGTAACAATAACGACAGCGTAGATAGTACGTCTAGTAAGTAGGTACGTGTTGCGATGTTAAATGCCAGCTGCGATTAGGTACGGGTTCGATTCCCGCTTACACGCACGTAGTCCATGGACAATGACATATACCTATAACTACGATTAAATCTATTTAAATAGCTACCTACCTTAGGTTCCTACTAGAACCGTTAAATAAAGTAGTAAAGTATCGATGCTACTATCTACACAAACAGAATATGTAGGTGTAGGTATACCTACCAACCTATTATCTTATAGATAGAGTTAACTACCTCTCGGGGCTTGATGAAGCTCCATTGTAATTTGCCGGTTGCCGCAGGTCTAAAACAATTTGCCCAACCATTGATCCTGACAATAGCCCGATTGCCTATTATGGTCCGGACGGGCATGTTATTGACAATCACTTTGGAACAAGATCGAGCCGCAGCATTTGCATACGTACAGGTAGATGCTACATGACTAAGTAATTGAGCCACCCTACCTACGTAGTTTCAGTATTCTCGGGTCTAACTATCCCTGTCACTCATACTAGTAGCTCATGTGAGAGGGAGAGAGAGATTGATCGGCAAATTAGCAAATAATAAGCCCTGACAATGATAAGATGCGAAAGTAAATTTCAATAAGCTGTTGCAAGGAAAAAGATTTAACTTGCAAATGTTTTTGAATTGCTCCAAATTGATGTTCATATAGCCTAGGATTTTTACAACGATATAATCTTATCGTGGTATTTTATCTATTTTAGTAGATAAACCTATACAATTATCGTCTAAAATTAATAATAAAATTATATCGTGCCGCGCATCCGCAGGCATGTTGTGGTCTACTTATAGTTTTATTGCTTGAAAAATAATGCGTACCTTTAATAACATCCTGATTCTGTATTATGTAATGAGCAGTTCAAGCCAAGAAAGCAAGATCCGGTGAGTTGAAAATAAATAATGCCTAATTTCATAACTACGTTTTAGTTTTCCCGCCTTTGGTTACTAAATTTCCCTCGAGTCAGCCGTCATTTTTCCAATGTCATACATTTTATTTTTTAGCCAGTCACGGCTTCGGTTAAGACTAATTTAGCCAAGGTTTCCGATGTATCATAGACAATAATTGGATATTTTTAAGTCAGTAGATAATGCCACGACTATGATGCAGATTTTTTAAAATACACAAAATGATTGGCCTTTAGACGAGTTATAATTTTGAAATAAACTTCCCTTCGGCGCGTTTTTTAGTACGTATTGTACTTCGCTTTAATATCCAACTCCATGAAGCGATTTCGTAGTTAAAATTAATTTTTTATAACTTCTCTAGAGGACAAATATCTTTAAAGTTAACATAAGCATTAATGATTTATGCTTTACGTTTTAATTGATTTTATTAATCCATATAAGTTCAAAAATAATACCTAAGCAAAAACCGGTATTTACCGGAAAAATATTTACAAGTCGATGAACGCACCCATTATCTTTACTGCACGTGTTCTCTATAGATTTCAAGTCTATGTTGTCTGTGGTTAAAAATTGAAGTACCTTCGCTTTTGTAGTCGCATTTTCAGCGTTATCATGGCTAAAATGTTATTCTAATAAAAAGACGTGCCTCAATAATCGTCGTAAATACGTGCAGTGATAAGACAATTAGATATTTTATACAGTTATATGATTACTTGCTCTCATTTGTCAAATTGTGCTAGACCGCATATTTAAAATGGCAGCCCTACCACGTAGAATAATCAAAGAGACACAGCGACTGATGCAGGAGCCTGTGCCGGGAATCAGCGCGGTGCCCAGCGAAACCAATGCTCGTTATTTTCATGTAATCGTCACCGGCCCAGAAGACTCACCTTTTGAAGGAGGACTATTTAAATTAGAATTGTTTCTACCAGAGGACTATCCCATGTCAGCGCCTAAGGTTAGGTTTATAACGAAAATATACCATCCGAACATAGATCGGCTTGGTCGTATATGCTTGGACATACTGAAGGACAAGTGGAGCCCTGCACTGCAGATCCGTACAGTGCTGTTGTCTATCCAGGCGCTACTGTCGGCGCCTAACCCTGACGATCCCTTGGCAAACGACGTGGCTGAGCTTTGGAAGGTGAACGAGGGGGAAGCGATTAGAAATGCAAAGGAGTGGACACGGAGATACGCGATGGACAACTGAGCGCCTGTGCTGCCCGCACACACCCATCAGTGCCTCCCACGCGCGCGACTCGAGGTGCGAAACTAACAGATATCATGATTTTAAGAGTGCAAGTTATGTTATACACCTTAGACCGAATAACTTGTGAAGAGACAATTGTGGATAAATTTTTATTATTAGTGGGAACCCATGCGGCACGCCGGTCGGTGCCGCGGCCCACGCTCGCTCAGGCCCTCCCTGCATCTCTACGTAGCCTCGCCCTTCGGTCCGGAGCGGCTGCTTCGAAGATCCAACCGATAATTGTTTACCCATTCACATGTAGCTTCGTTACAATATTAGGTATGCATATTTTTTTACTATCATTAAAATAGCAAATATAATAAATATCTGGAGACTTAAAATGTATATATTTCATGGTTACAAATTTGGTTAATTTTATACAAAGGATAGCGTGTACTGTCACAAAGTTAATGTCTTTGTAAGTGTTGTGTCAACACCGCCCCTTGATTGAGTGCAGAATATTGCTTAATTAATTATATCAGTTTTCTGATCTCTAGTGATTCTGAATGTAATTTAATTTTCTCTTATAGAATGTGAAAGCATATTAGCCATTTTGTTTTTCACAGGATAAGCTACATCAACATGATTTCACTATGAATCTTTTGTGTACTATTTACGTCTTGTATAAAAGTTATCATTAAATTGTATTTATGTAAATTTAATTTGGCTTTGTGAGCAAAACTTCGAAATACATAATATACAAAAAGCTAACCAATATTTTATTTAGACACATCTATATCTTATTCTTCTATAACATTTTCATCAGTCTTTACTAATTAATATTATTGTTTATTTACAATAACCTTTGACATATCATTTTATCAAATCGATAACAAAACTACCAATTTTACACATCAGAATAGTATTTATTGCTACTTAGGCATCCGTATTATTCGATTTTTGTTAGAAAATTGATTCGTTATAAAAAAATGATTTTAAGTATGTTCAAGAGATAATGAATTAAAGGTCAAATGACATCTATTAATTGACATCTTACAGTAAAAAATAGCTCCTTTACTTATCAATTCATCCTGTTTCATTTTCATCAGTTTGTTATTATCCAACTAGTCTAGTTACAGCTGTCTGGCATGAATCAACTATGGTTCATTAAGTTTTACCGCAAAGATTGCTCATTAATTATATTTATAGTGTTACGTTAACACTCAATTTAGAGTGGATTAATTTTAATTTTTTATACAGCTTAGTAGACTGTTAATACAGAAAGTGTATCAAAGTTTATAATTTTTAGCAGAAATCATACATTTAGCAGTAAACATTGACTGTAGATTTTGGCTCACCAAACTAAACAAGCATATTTTAGTCAGTACCAAAATATCCTTGATTTAAAATTGTTAATAGTCACTGACCCTGAGAAATGGCGTTGTTGTTGTATTTGGTATTAGTATAATTTTTCTTATTCTTTTGTATACAGCTTCATGGTACAAAGATTGTCATATGCTTCTCTTTCAAGAAATCTGTCTGGGTGCAGCAAAAAATCTAGATGCTTCTCAATGGCTTAAGGGTTTATCTGTTATCAGTGATAATTATCATTATAAATTGATAATTATCTCTGATAAAATAATAATTGTTTAGTTATAGATTTCTTTTTAAATTTTCTTTATCATATTATTCCTCCTATTTTCATTTTTATTATCATTTAATTGTATTGGTATATTTTTTTTTTACAAGCAGGTACTCAGTTAAAAAACTATTTTATTGAAATCCTGAAACATATATTTTCAGCACATTTAAAAGTAAGGTAAACATTTAGAACTGAAGACATGAGATATAAGGTTGCTGACTGATTGCTCTTCCTTGATACTAATGAATGATGAGTTTACTTCACCCATTATTGCCGCTTCGAGAGGTTAATTTAATAAAGGGTACAGCTACAGTCAACTGTAGGTCAATCATGATGCAACGAGTTCTTATTCTGAGTTGAATCCCTATGGTCAACTGTACAGATGAGATGCAACTTCGCCCACTCCCCACCCGATGGGCGCCCCCAGATAACGACGATGCAAAAACGCATTTAGGAATAAATACATGAAGAATTTCATTGATCCTAGTATCAAACGAAAACTCTTTCAAATTGGGTTTTTTTTTCCAAAATAGCGATTTGTGGCTTACTGGGAATTTTTGTAATTGCCTCATTTTTCCGTTGTCAGATGGCGCCACATTCGCTACTCTTGAACTGCCTCCATGACAAATAGCTATCTGGAGTGGAGCAGGACCCTCACATCGTCATAGCTCTTTCCTATGTTCAAATTTTGTTAATCCTTTCGTAATAATGTAGTCCTTAAAACAACTGGACCCATGGCCCCGCGAAGCTTTCAGATGACAAGCATTTATGTTTTAATATGTAGGATTCATTAATCCTAAAAATTATGAGGGGATGCCCACGCGTTTGTTGGATAGAAAGCTTAATTTTTATGCAATAACATAATAATATTTTTCTTTATATCATCATAATTTTTTGCCCACCATTGTTTACTCCTCTCTTAGTACGCTTCTGAAATTGCTACATTATTCTAATCGCTCATTATCGACGCTGATAAGGCGTGATCTTCAAACTTTATCGGTTACAGGCCATTAGCCTTTAATGTACCAGTCTGACGATTGAATGAAGATAATGGGAAACCTCCTGTTTGGTGGTAAAGACAATGAACTGAAAACAGCGGGTGCCGCCATGCCGGTTATTTATTTAAAGACTTTATTGCACACACATAAGAATGTTCCGTACAAAAAGGCGAGCTTAATGGTTAGAACTTGTAAAGAACAATGTTTAAATAAATAAATTAAATATTCATATTATATTATCGCGTTAATCATGGTTTGATGATCCCGGAGTCATCTCCTCAGTAGCAAGACCCACATTGTCTCCCACTAGTGCCACTGCAGGACCTGAAGCAAGCAACACCTAAAGCAACACTTGGTTTCTACACTATTCGGTCGTACGTAAGTACCTACCTATTTTCTTCCGTATCTTCAGAAGTCGCATTTTCATTTATTAGGTATTCTTATAATTCAGATTTTTACATTAGAATATCATTAGGAATTAAACTACAAGAAGGAGATAGCATTCGTTAGTTCTTCGTCAATCTTAATAGAATGAAAAGAGATAGACTCAAATCTCACTATTGCGTTTGATGAGAGAGAACAAAATTATCAATTTAAAAAATACTGATAAAAGTAGAGGGTAGTCTGGTAGGTCTGTAGGCCTGTAGCTCTACCATGAGTTTACTCGAGTGGGTAAAAAAATGTATGGCAAATTGTACAGCGCCCCTAGCGGTTAGTAGCAGAACTAAAAACGGTAGAAGTAGGATTGAAGTTGTGTCCAAGAACGTCTCTTTCACTTTTATGATCTCCTAGTACATTTTGTTAAGTGTGTCCGCCCATCGAAAAGGAGAAATAAAATTGTTTCGTTCTTCGTTCCAAAAACGTTTTCAAGTCACCTTTGTGATGTCACTTTGGCTACCAAAGTACCAGGAGCACATACATTATAAGGAGGTAGCAAAACTACGAAGTATGTTTAATCTGTGGTACGGATGATGACATCAACAAAGCAAACACTAGCACCTAATGCCTTTGTAATAGAAAAAGGCGCGAACTTTCGAGGCGGGNATGTGCGACATAATAAACAATGAGTTTATACTCAAAGCCATTATCGACACCCTGATGAGTTTTTGTAAAAAAGATAATGTAATACCAGTCAATTCATCAACTATTAAAGAATTGTTTATTAAAAATGTCAATCAGAATGGATAGAAAGTTAACTATTTTACAGCACAACATACAGAGTTTAAAACCAAAAATTCCTATTTTATCACAACTTTTAGTTAATTTAGATGTTGATATTTGTGTTTTAAATGAAACTTGGCTGAAATCTTCTGACAGAATTAGATTTAGAGGTTATCAAATTTTTCGTAGAGACAGTGACACGGGTTATGGCGGTGTTGCCATTCTTTGTAAAAATTCTATTAAGTGTACAGTAATTTCCACTAACAGTAATGATAAAATACAGAATTTAGCCATTAGTATCCAAACTTCGGGTAATAATTCTATAAATTTAATGGGGGCGTATTGTCCACCTAGAAGAGGGCGATTTCCAATAAATACATTAAAAGATATTGTTCATTCATTACCTTCTCCTCTAATAGTCGTTGGTGATTTTAATGCTCACCACACAGCATTTGGTTCACAAAATAATAAGCCTCGAGGTATTCAAATATATGATATGTTAGATGAGCTTAATTTATGTATATTAAATAATGGCGAGGTCACTACTCTAGCTCGGCCCAATACTACTGCCTCAGCTATTGACATTTCACTTGCTTCACCTTCTTTACTTTCATCAGCAGAATGGTCAGTATACTATGAAGATAACTTGGGCAGTTATCATTTTCCAACAGTTATTAACCTAGAAATCGATGTAAATGTTTATGAGTACCCAAATAGACAGGAAAAATTTATTTATAGTAAAGCCGACTGGGCAGGTTATTATTGTAAATCTGAAAATGCTTTTAATATTATAACTTCAGAAGTAGATCCTAGTAATGCCTACGATAGCTTCTGTGAGATACTTAATAATTTAAAACTAGAGTTTGTTCCAGTTCACAAAGTTTCAAATAGTAATCACAAATCATTTAAGCCTGTTCCTTGGTGGAATGAGCGTTGTTCAGATGCAGTACAAGCAAGCAAATTCGCGCTTCGTATGTATCGACGATATCCCTCAATGGATAATTACTTGTTATATAAAAAATTAGATGCTGCCAAAAAATTGATAATTAAAGAGGAAAAGTCTCTCAGTTGGAGAAATCTTTGCACCGGCTTTGATCGCACTACACCTATTAACAAAATTTGGAATTTCATTAAAATGTTTAATCACAAACGTCCATCTACCAAAAATATAGAAAATGATGTATTAAATGACTTTTTAGGAAAGGTCACATCGGATAAACCAGCAGATGACACTGAGAAATTAAATGATATCTTTGAGTCTAATGTATTAAATACTCATCTGAACTTACCATTCACCTATGATGAATTTGTCTTGTCTTTAGATAGTAGAAGAGATACCACACCTGGGCTTGACGATTTTCCTTATATTTTATTAAAACGTTTACATAAAAGAGCTAAGCAAATCTTACTAACTATATTTAATAATTTATGGACGAACAATATCATTCCAACTTCTTGGAAAAGTATAGCTGTAGTACCGATTTTAAAGCCTGATAAAGATCCTAATTCGGCTGAATCTTATAGGCCAATTTCTCTTTCATCATGCGTAGGTAAAGTCTTTGAAAATATGTTGAAGAACAGGTTGGAATTTTATGTAGAATCCAGACTAATACTCCCATCAGATCAATTTGGCTTCCGTAAGGGCAGAAGCACACTTGATAGCCTTTTAAAATTTAGCGGTGACATAGAAGACGCATTCTGTGAACATAGCTATTTAGTAAGCGTTTTCCTTGATGTTAGTGGTGCTTTTGATAATGTGAATTTGCCAACCTTAGTAGAAATTTTACACAGTTACAATATTCCCGGAAAAGTTTGCCAGTGGATTTTCAATTTTTTTAATTCTAGATTAGTGTATATTAAACATAACCACACCATTCACGGTCATCAAAGAGCGTATAAAGGAGTAATGCAGGGTGCAAGTATTTCCCCCTTAATGTATCTCTTGTACACAGCCGAATTTCACAAATATGTTTCTGTAAATAATTTATCAATATTACAATATGCAGATGATATTGTACTATATACTAGAAATAGAAATATATCAGAAGCTGAAGCAACTCTCAATGAATCGTTGAATCTTCTGTTTTTGTATTATAAAGAAAGATTAAAGTTAGATATTAATCCACAAAAAAGTTCATTGATGGTGTTCAGTAGGAAAAATGATTCTGATTTTGTAAATTTAAATGTAAAATATTGCAATGTAAATATTAGTTTAGTAGGAGAAAAGAAATTTTTAGGCTTGTTTTTTGATTCCAAAATGTATTTCAATCGTCATGTAAATAACGTAGTTTGTAAAATGCAAAAAACTGTAAATATTATGAGATGTCTTGCTGGTGTGAGTTGGGGCATGGACCCCAAATTACTTAATCTAATATTTAAGGCCATAGTCAGAAGCCACTACGATTATGGTTTAATAGTATATGGTAAACATATCAGTCAGTTTCTTTATCGGAGAATTGAAGTTATGCAGAATAGAGGTTTAAGAATTATTACAGGTGCTTTTTGCTCGACACCAATAAATTCTCTCGAAATAGAAGCTGGCATACCACCTCTATCTGTAAGATTAAAATATTTGACTGAGAAATTTTATTTGAAAGTATTGGCTAATAAATTTTATTTAAATCTTTATCATAAAAACAAAACTTTGCAAGGTCAACATTTAGTAGAACTTAAGGAAGTATGTAAATGCATAGACCATAAAGAGAATTGGGACTTAGGCACTTTAGAAGTTCAGACGGTAAAACCAGCAGTTTGCTCAGCGAATGTGAAAAATAATACGGAGTTTTTAGAATATGTAAATACAAAGAAGTCAGGATATCGAAGAATATATACGGATGGGTCTAAGACAGAAGAAAGTACAAAGGCTGCATACTATGACTCGGACATAAGATTTGGCAGATGCTTTTCTTTAGACCAAAATGCATCAATATTTACAGCAGAAGCTTTTGCTATAAGCACCGCTTTGCAATATATCCAAGGAATTGAGGATACTAACACCTTTTTGATTATAACTGACTCATTGAGCGTACTTAAATGTTTAGAAAATGCGCACATCTCGTATAAGACGAACATTTACATAACCAAAATTAGACAAATAATATTGGAAAGTCAGAATAACAAGAATATTGAATTTATGTGGGTTCCCTCTCATTCTGGGATAACTGGAAATGAAACTGTGGACAAACTTATGAAGATACGAAATCCATACAACAATCCACTTTATCCAGCTCCGCCAGTACCTATTACCGATTATGACTCGATTTTGAAAAAAAAAAAAAAAAAAAAAATGCCTTTGTAATAGGTGCTATTTTACAACTGTACAAGTGGAAAAGAGATGCAACCATATGACTGGTGAGAAAGAGACAGGTTATTGTGGGCGGGGTCGGGGGTGGGTAGACAAACACTCCTTTCATTCTTATGCGCTCCTAGTACTATTTAAAAACTTCGTTACTTTTTAGTGCCAGTAGATGTCTCAGCACTCCCCCGTCAGACATACGTCATGCTCTTGATATATTCTGGGCGCCTGGTACTTTCTGTGACATTTGTACGTTGAATCACCGCTTAGTGGCGCTTGTTGTTTGGTATGAATTTTAATTTGTTCGATGTTAAAAATAATACCAAATAGTGGAGTGAGTGGTGTCCCCTTTTGGTCCCCTTTCCATTTATTTTTATATGAAGGAATTATTTGAGGAGTACCAAATTATTACGTTGTAGGTGCCGGGATGAGATTTTCAAGAGACAAAAACATTGCATATTTTTTCTTGTCTTCTGAATACTTCATTTTCATAAAATGTTGGTTTGGCACCTCTCATGGAAACAAATAGCGTTTGATAATGAAACAACGAATCAGTTTGTTCAGTTTATTCTTAACTTTAATGCAGACTAGAATAATACTCTTAGAAATGAGAACAACAATAGTTATTTCACATGTTACAGTGTACCTACCATATACCAGCATCCACAATAAAAGGCTATTTATTATCAGTGTTTCTCAATGTAAATAAATCTTATTCACAACAGCTAGCAATATAAAATTACATATCAGATTGTATACCTATTATATTATGTTAATAAATTGATTGATAAATTAACAAGGGATAGGTCGACGCCCTTGACTGAAACTATTACATATCTCATTTACAATAAACGACTCAAAACAATGTTTTCCTGTACTAAATAAAAAACTAAACTGTTAAATCGGAGCAAAACAGATATTCAATAAAGATATTCAAAATAATATGTATATGACTGTGCTAATTCAATAATGATTCATACTGTGATTGTATCTATTTTTATAGGATCAAAGTGAGCTTGCTACATAGTGTGAATTAGTTTTATACATAGAAGAGTCAGACAGTAAAATTATGATAGTACATTTTGTGAGTTTGTGCCTAGATCTCAAAGTGTAGCAAGGCTGCACTATCCAATATTGGCCATCGACAAAAAACTACAAGGCCAATAGAGTTTTCGACTAAAATACAAATAAGTATACCTATTACCTAATTGATAGGGCGTCGACCGTTGCAACTAAATCATAAGTTTGTAGGGCAGCCAATTATAATAAAAGGGACATTTGAACAAGGAGTAGGTATTAAATAGTAGGAAGCGGATTACTTGAGTGGTTGGACTAATTTGGTGGCTATAAATAAATATTTTATACATAAATAAATATAGAAACTCGTCCTCAGAGCGCTAAGCTTAGCTAAGAACACAGGAAATACATACATACAATATAATATAGGTTACATATGCTATAGCGACACTATAAAATTTACAAAATATGATATATCTTTGAAACGCTACACGAAATAATGCTTTTATTTATTAGGTACCTATATCGACTAATCAATTCTTTTTTATATTGATCACCGTTGATCCGCGGTTGAGAAAATGGCGCGAATCAGGCATTTGATAAAGATGCTGACACGAACGATGCTGCGCGCCTGAATCACAATCATTTTGGGAACCTGAATGCTCTATCTAAGCTTTACACGTGTGACCTCTCCGACAGAACAACACTTCAAAATCACACGTCGATATTTATACATTCGGTACTTCCTATTTAGCTCAGAATCCTCAAATAAATGTTGTTTTGTCAAAGAAGTCTCGTATGAAATGGATTTGAACTATGGTGCAATGTCGACAAGAGAAACAAAGAATAGAATAACGCACACTATAAAAAATATAAAATATACATTTCGAATTCCTATGATAAAATATCTACCTAATTAATAAAATAAATAAAATGTAAAATGTTGGAATGGCTCGATACAAGTGAAAACGTAATTAGAATATTAAAAATTGTTCTTCATTTAACAACAGATCGTAAAAACAACTAGAGTAAAAAAATGGCAATAATAAAAATATGGCTTGAGGAAAATATTTTACCAAACAGATCCTAAAACTATAGTTTCCCGAACACTTCAACGTGGTCAATTTGGTTTGTGGAGTATTTTTACAATTTCAGCAACTGTTAAGAAATTAAACAAACTTTCGAGAAGCTTCTAAAAAAATGTTCGAGAAATTGGTGGTATTCTTAAACCATTCAATCTTTCATATCGAAAACCAATTTTTACTAACACCATACCAATCTTTCTTCTACCAATGAAAACCATAATACCAAGGTCGTTTTACAACTAGGCCCTTTACAATACCGCTTATATTAAACATTTATTTAAAACTATTTAATATTCTCGGTAAAATGTGTCATGAAAAATTAGGAAAGGGGAAAAAACATTAGTAAACCATACAACAGACTTGACTGACAATAGTAAATACGAAACTATCTAAGCAGATATGAGTGGGTTGATATAATCATTCGTTAAATGGAGTATGTAATGTATACACATTGTCATGAGAATACGTATGCCGATTTGGACTTGCTACCGTTAACGTCAAACAACCAGATGGATCCAATTCTGATATTATTCAATTGTTTCTGTAACTCTAGCAGGATTTCATTATGAAACTCTCTGTTACTAGTGTTCTTCTTCATTTATTGGAAGGAAAGAGATAGCTTACTTTTGAAAACAATGAACGTATCAGAATTGGACCCATTTAAGAACGTGATCAATATTGTCCAGTGTCGAATCATCGCTTTCTGAATGTATACTCTTGACATAGATTTTCGGACTTAACACTAAAATTCGACGTAGCAAATACAAACCGGTGAGACGAAAGTTACAGAGTACAACTTATGACCTATCTTACCTAGCCACGTAAGCATATAAGCATTTGAAACTTGACATCACATAACTTAGTTGTTTGAGTATTTTTGTCAGCTAAGCTACTGTTTAGCTCTATTCTCGCCTTTAGTACAATATTTGTTATGTCCACGGTTTTTGGTAAGCAACTCCCTGCAGATTTTCCTTTACATTATAGGTAGGTAATAACAATAAAGAACTAACTCTTGATATGAGGTCCTCCACAAGTGAAGCATTTTTTCAAAGGAACTTTATCGTTCAAATTATTAAGAAAGAGGCAGTTTTACTGTACTGTATATTGGACAAAATAATCTTTATACAGAATACGACTGTACTGTACTATATAGAGGGTTGTCATGTATTGGACAACATAGTGGGTACCTCTATTTATAAGATGGCTTGTAAATACAGTCAGTACAGGTTGTTGCTATAATGTATACAGGTTGTTGCTATGTATACAGGTTATTGCTATACCATACAGGGTGTTGCCATACCGTATACAGGTTGTTGCCATACCGTATACAGGTTGTTGCCATACCGTATACAGGTAATAACCTGTACCTGTGTAATAATAGCTATACCATACAGGGTGTCGCTATACCGTATACAGGCCGAGAACAGAGCTCGCGTGGGCGCGTATATGTAAGCAGGCACTTGTGGCGGCGGCGCGCGCGCTTAGATGAACACCGGGTTCTCCTGCCCGGTCAGCAGCCGGAACATCGACGTCGGCATCGTCTTCATTAGGATCTGGAATGGTAGTATTGTATTATAAGTGTGTGTTGTATTAATAGTAATAGTAATCTGAATTACTATGTTTAAAAAGAAATAATAATAAATACACTTTATTGCACACCAAAGATAAGAACAGAAAGAAAAGGAACACACAAGGTACAACTAGGCGGTCTTATCGCTATGAAGCGATCTCTTCCAGACAACCTATGGTGAGGACAGTTACTTAAAAAAAATATGAAGGGGAAGGCGGTGTCGACACTAAAGAAATAAATGAAAACAAAAGGCATAAAATTTAAACCAAAATAATACATACAAATAATACACAAAATATATTAATATATACATAATTATATAAAATACATACAATATATACCTACATACATACATACTTACTATAGGTCTTACATAATTACATTTACATAGAAACTTACTATAGGTCTCATAATATGGTTAAGGTTACTCAAAGGGCGATAGCGTAAGTATGGTACGTGATCAAATAAGAAATTAAGTTGAAGTCGATGACCGTCGGGACAGAAAAGTGACCAAGTGCGCGAAAAACGTAGTGTAGGCAGGCTGGAACTCCTTAGATCAATGATCTGGTAAAGGTCTAGCGCAGGTCATTGTGGAAATCCTTGAGGGAGGTCTTTGTCCACCAGTGGACGACGAATATCTTTTAAAACACGGTTGACGATGCGCTCGTGCTCGATGCGACGACGCTCTGCGAGTTGATCTCGATGATGCGGTGACGTCAGCCGTCACATTTTATGTCAATGCAATATACTAAATAAGGCCACGTCTTCATCCGTCCCATAATAATGCTAATGCATTATCTTTAACGCACCTCGCCCACAGAAGTGGCCAGTAAATTAACGATGCGCTCGTGCGGCACGGCGACGACGCTCTGCGAGTTGATCTCGATGATGCGGTGACGTCAGCCAATGGATATTATGTCAATATTCATTGACCGTGTCTTCACCCGTCGCATATAATGCTAATGTAATATCTTTAACGCACCTCGCCCACAGAAGTGGCCAGTAAGTTGACGATGCGCTCGTGCGGCACGGCGACGACGCTCTGCGAGTTGATCTCGATGATGCGGTGGCCGACGCGCACGCCGCCGCGCTCCGCTATGCCGCCGCGGAGTAAGCTGCATATCTACAGATAATATAGATTTTAATCATTCAACTATTCTAGGACACCCTGTATACCAGGGGTGGCCAACCGGTCGATCCAGTCGATCGTGGCAATGCAAAAACTACTACATGATTGTGTACTAAACTATGCTGTTTCATTTAAGATTTCAAGAAATATGTAAGTGGTAGATCGCCTTGGGTTTTGTTAGCAAACAGTAGATCTTATGAAAATTATAAATAACTTGAAAAAATCGAACTGCCTAAGGCGGGAATTGAACCCACGACCTTCCGCTTGCCGGGCGACTGCTCTTCCAACTGAGCTACTTAGACACTGGATGAACCCGTCGAAATTTTCAAGTGTAATACGCTGTTACGGTCGTGGGTTCAATTCCCGCCTTAGGCAGTTCGATTTTTTCAAGTTATTTATAATTTTCAAATTAGTTTGAGATGCGACTCTTAACGCTAAAAATTAAATAACTAAGTAGATCTTATGTCTAATCAAGTTGGCCACCCCTACTGTATACGATCCTATCCTGCGTCAGAAGTCAAAACATTGAACAAATCTAATGGTGCGCAGATTCCGCCCTACCCAACTGTAAACGGTGGGCGGCGCGGATTTTGAACGCTGAAAAAACACACCCGTTCTTCGTGTAGACCAAACGGTTGAAAAAGACCGAAGACTAATTTGTTGTTGTTGAACTATGAGTAGCCTTTTTATTATGGTCTTCTAAAGATTGCCCAAAGAAGAAACTTCACTTTTAAGTAACAAATTATGCAAACTTATATTTATGGTGTTGCATGATTTTTAAAAATAAAAAACATCATTACCCTAAGTTTGGAACCATTGAGTTATGTTAATGTTAATTATGTTATTAAGTTAAGTTAATGTTGTTTGGAATCTACAATATCCTTCATTTGTCCACATTTCAATGGGGTACATGACCACGGTTACAGACCGATAAGCGTTTTACTCATAAAAATCTATTACAGGCTTCTGGTAGAGGGTTTTGTAGATCAAAATGAGTTCGATTTACTCACCACACCATTTTGCACGCTGAACCCAAGCTGGTACTTGGTGTCGGGCCGCTTGATCTTGACTTCGACCACGGGCGCGCACGGTACCACGGTCAGTTTCACCACGGTCTGGTTCTTGGAGTTCTTGATGTAGGTCTGACAAGTTGATAATGGCAGGCCGACGAGGCTCACGCCGTTGATTGCTATTATTTGATCACCTGCGAATATAAATCTTTGTGAGAGAGATATACAGGATGATTTTGTAATCAGTGTCCAAATTTTAGGATCGACTCAGAATCAGTAACTTAATCGATTTACGTAAAGAAAGCAATATTTAAGTCACCCTGTATAATACAAGTAACTTACTAGAAGACTTATAGAGGTAAGTTAACACAACAAGTAAATATCAGTGTGAGAGGAAAAGTAACCTAGAACTCCACTTATACAAAACGGAAGTTTGACTTGCTTATAAATAACACAATGTGAACACAAGGGAGCATGATTTAGAGATCGGCCTTAAAACACAAAAAATACGAGCCATGTTTGCAGTACAGCTGCTACAATGGGCTTTCTTTCTAAGCTTGCGCATATAGTGTCATTTACACTCTTGAAATTTAAAGTAGGCATATCGTATGGTACCCGTTGTAATGGATTTGTCCCGAAAATAAATTAACGAACGAGTTACAAACAAAAAACGTACCTATATTCAACTGCCCACACCTCGCCGCGGCACCGGCCGGCGCTAGATTCGCTATCACCACCGTCGGCAGCATGGAACCCCATCCCGACTCCACCACAACCACCCCCAATATCTCTCCTTTAGTCTTCGGCACCACCACTTCTTTCTGCAGTTCCTTCTTCGCAAACATCTGTAACTCGTCGCCGAATATCTCCTGGCTGTTCAGGACTTCCTGGTAGTCCATCTCCTTGACGAAGCTGTGGTCCTCGATGCCATTGGCTTTGAGGAACTCCATGTATGCCACTTGGAACGCTTGCCCGATCGATTGAGCTATGAATTGGGCCTGGAACGAGGAGTTAAGATTTGTTTTAGAAATACAGTGGAAGAGCATTAATTTTTGTATTTAACTTCTTTATAATTTAAAGTCGTGATTGAGTGATTTTTTATTGAATCTATGAGGTTGGGACATCGTGTCAACATACAATGATTCATTACCTCAATCTCACCCTATAATTAGCAATTAGCTTTAAAGATTTTTAGATGTCATGACTAGTGGATCAAGATGAAAGTATCATATATCTGTTATGAGTGTACCTAAATTCTAAATAAACTAAGAAATATAAATTATTAAAAAAACAATTTTTGCAGATAAATTTATTGCATTTGTACATACGTTTAATTGGACTAAGAATTTCATCAAAACAAACTTTACATCCGGCTTATGCATTCACTTGTGATATCAGTTTTCATAGTTATTAGCACAATAACATTAATTGGTAAAGTAACACAAACAACTTGTCACATTTTTAACTAAGCTGATAATGTTAACAAACACTACTGTAGTTACACTAAAAACTCGAGTTATTGAAAACTACGAAGTCAGTCATCAAGAAAAATATAATTACAATTTAATTACTCAATCGTTAGCGCGGGTAAAAACATCGCTGAAAAACCGGTAAACAAAACGAAATAAATACAAACAACTCATTGAAGCCAAACGTCTACATTTAGGAATGACACTAAACGAAATGTGCCTTTATCTCAAGAACACACAGACGTGATAACACGCGTGAATTGGAGCATTACCGCCTAAATGTTTTTCAAGTAGCCTCGAATACATTTGAATGTGTTATTTTTGACAACCATGCTTAATCGTAGTCTACTGTAGTACACTCGGACTTAAAAATATGTAACCAAATGAACATTTACTGAATCGCACAGATTTTCATTTGTTTTTAAAACTTTTGGATTATGAAGTATTATTTGATTGAAATTTCCAATTAATAAGGCAATCTAATTAATAAAAACTAATCAAACTTGAGGTATAACATTTTTAGCACCGACTGTTATTATTATTATAAAATTTTATTGCACAATAAAATAGTACAAAAGGTGGACTTAATGCTATTTAAGCATTCTCAGCCAGTCGACCCCTGGGTTAAAACTGTTCTAAAACAATAATCTTTTGTGCCCAACGAAAAATAGTTACTTAACTACGTACTCGTAATCGTTACTTTTGGTGCCTGTAGTGTGCATCACTAAGAATTTTTGGCTTGGTTACGGCAACTAAATTAATTAACCTACCACTAATTTAGTGATTTATGTAAGGTACTGAAAGTGACTAGAACTAACTGTTATATTACGTGGCTTACCTCCTCGCTTTCAAAAACGTGGCAAATCATCTTGGGCGTACGGTTCAATTTCGGTTGATCGGAGTCGGTCTCGTGAGGCACGAATCTTCTCCTGGCCATGAGCACAACTAAATCTCCAATATCAGCTATGTACGATATTGTCCTGAGGGCGTGGTCCATCATGATTTCCTTCAGTTCTGTGTTTAAGACCATTATCTTCTCTGTAGATATAAAAAGGTCCACTTCTGTACTTGGCTGGTTTTCACCTTCGGGAGCCTGGGGACAAAAGAAGTTTATTTTTAAAATAACGGTTGTAATTAAGCAATCAGGGTTGCCGTACTTGCCATATTATTTTAGTGTCGCCATTTTAGAAATTTTGTATTGAATATCAACATATTCAACTTACCAAAGCCTGATTGTCCGAGAGAGCAGTAAAAAATAGATCTCATTAATATACATTTATTTCAGATTTGTTTCTTAAAAATATTTAAGTTTAAGTAAATAATATTTACATGCGGCTAACAATTTAAGTGGTAGGTAATATTATTTCATTAATGCTAAAAAACTACAGCAAATGTAATTGCTAATATCTGAGCAGTTTTTTTAATTATTTCTTTAGTTAATAAACCGTATATTACCCCAGGGTATTACATTATTTACAGTCTATTTCTTACAGCTACAATGCCTCAACTGATTAACTAAATGATTTTTCCTCATAATGTTACTAGGCATTGAGTATTGTACAATAACTGTAAATAAAGCTTAAATTGGCGTTTAGCCGATAAAAGTGCTTTTTAGGTGGCAAGTTTTCAATAGGCAACGTGTTTTAAATCGGTTCGTTTCATTTCAAGAAACATTTATGGGAAATATGAAAATTCTGCTCGGATTTTAAAGCATTTAGTTTTTTATGTCTATGGTTTTAGTAAAGAATTATTGACTAGAATACTATTTTTGTAACTAAACAATATTTTTTCGTTGCATTAACCCAAAAAAATTTCTTTGCATTTTAGATGTTGGTATTGTCAAATCAAATCAAATCAAATCAAATCATTTATTTGTAAAACATAGGTAAATGTATAAATCAGGTGGTACATAATAATGGGTAGAGCTCTATGTTTGGCCTATGAGTGTCTTTTTTAAATCTTACTTGAAAATCAGGGTATGAAGCATCTTTCTTTCAAAAACCGGGGGTGGATTAAAAATTCAATGAGCAAGCTTTCAGTAAACGCGTCAACACGTTCAAATACAACTTCTACTATCAAGCGCTGTTACCGGCTAAACGCCAAACGCACTCTAAATTCAAAAAATACAACTGGCAGCCAAACAACCTTGATTTTAGTGACGGCCTCCTCAACCATGTTCTTTTTGGGGCGCCTCTTGCGCCGCCTCGAGTCCTCATCCACCTCGACCGATCCCAGGAAGGTCAGGCGGAACACCGCCGCCGGCGCCGCATACACGCCCGAGTACGGGCCTTCGCACGCCCACTGCGCGGATAAACCGGCTAACCTCCTTCGCTCTCACATACCACGTGACGTTCAAGTGTCAGTTTTGGCGCGCATTTAATTTTTTTTAGCTGTGGCACCGCGGTTTTTTGCCTTTCATCGATTATGATTGTGTTTTTTTATTTGCCTGGATTTATGATGGTCTTGATATTTTTTTGGTTAAATGAATGTGTAAATACAAGTTATATTTAGACACGCACGTTTTAAACCCGTACTGAATTTTATAGCGAGTTTTAAATGTTTCAGATACAACGAAAGCTCAAGTTATCCAGGCATTGTTAGCAAATCTTCAAGCAGCGGTCCACAATAGATATGAAAGTTAAAATTTTAAATTTCAGCGCAAAAGCAAGCAACCAACTCCAATACAACACACTCAACGATGGTATGTGAGAAGCGAGCGAGCGATTCTCGTCATTATGAAAGCAGACCTAACGAAATATAAATCTTAACAATATTAAAATAGGGTTGGATTCCGTTTGTGCGTAGCCGCATAGTGCGTTACTGCGTACCGCTCGATTGTGTAGGCCACCGTAGCCGGTGTGAATCGGATCATGTTACATGCTAGTGCGTACATGAAAGTGCTTTGAATCAAAATGCAATCAGATATGTGGCAGGTACATAGTCGATCCAACGTTTATCCGTGTAAATATTAAGCGAGGCTATTTACGAAGAATGCTCTGATTTGAGTGATCATCTCTTGCCTCAAAACTTGGACATTTCTGTTAGTAACAGTTGGTAAGGCAGAGTGTTCTTCGTAAATAAATAATCAATGTAACATTACGTAAATATTTTATTGATACGGCATGGTTACGTCTTATGATACGAACGAACTTTAAATAGTAACGTGGACCAAAGTACATACCGTAAATTAAACATGCTGAATCTCAAATCTAGGGCAGCACAGGGCTCGGTAGCTTACCTTAACCTAGCTCACATTCAGGGTATAACATAATGGTAAAAGCATAGCGTCAAGCATAACAGTAAGCGACAGAACAAACAGTCCAAAGGAGGCTAGCCGGCCAGTACGGGATCCGACAATCTTCCTGGGTCAGGTCGAGGGTGAGGAGCACACTGAAAAAAATACTCTAGTGCCAAGTCAATAAGAGCAAAAACTGTTTGGCATCCCACAATTTTGGCTCAAAGGCTCGCACCCAGAGCGGTGGTCGTTTTCGAAATTTAAAAACGAAACATTCCATAGGGTAAAATCGGTGTTTCAATACTTTTTTTTCTAGTTCTAGCTTACATTACCAATGTTAGGTATACAAATAGGGATAGGATAATAAGGATATCCCGCTAGCATTCTCAAAACACTAATTCCTAATGAGCATGAAATTACAATATGTACAGAATAAGGAGATGATGTGGACGGAAGTAATATAGTTCTGCGTGCAAAAGTTGTAAAAGAGCTATAGTGATAAGTCCAGTATAAAGAGTTAGGTAAGTTAGAAATTATTAAAGAGAAAAAAATATTCTTAAACGATACCTAACTGTATCCTTCTTGCCTTTAAAAGTAATAAAGAACAACTTTTTAATTCTAGACTGAAAATTAAATTTAAGTTTAAGGTGGAAGAATTAGCTCAAATAGTCTGTGCTGGAAACGCAACAGCTGTGTAGTGCCATAGACCATAAGAGTGAGAGAGACAAGTAATTTCATGCTCTTATCATAACATCTACGGAAAAGACACATTTTACATTTATACCGATTCACACGGGCAAATGGCTTGCCATAGACAATAAATTGTGTAGGTATTTTATGAGAATGCATGTAGTATATTTATATTGTTAGTACATTGTGTATTCTGCTTTTAAATAATCTATGATTATTCTATTAATACTTAATTATTCAGCTTAATTGCATTTTTACTATGGAAAAATACTCTATGATTAGTAAAATGTTAGTTAGGCATTCATTATTATACGGTTAGATATTTCGAGTACTTTCAGTTACATATTTAAATGCATCAATTTATTCTAGAGCTTTAATATTTGGCTTATATTCATAAAAATCTCTCTAATTCAATAATTAACAACAAAAACTTTGTCAACTATTTAAAGAAGCGGCCCCAAAATACTTCCCTGATGCACGCCAAAGTTTAAAGCTCCAGAACGTTGGTATTCCGCAAAGAACAGACGTTACCTTGATCCTGGAGACGGCTTCCTCTGCCTGTAGCATTCTTGTAGCCTTCGTAGGTTGACCCTCGCAAGCAAGTTGTGTCGAGCCCAGATACCGCGCACGGAATAAAACGCCTTCGATCAGAACTGAAGGGGCCCAGTCTGAAAAACGATCACAAACGTGTTTATAGATTGCACGAATAGGGCCCGAGTTCACCAAAGGACGGTTAATTTAAAACTTTTGATTTACGAAGCATTGCAGTCACTGTGGGCAAGCTAATTCCATAATAGATCACCTGCGTACCCATTGGGTGAGATTGAGTAATATTAGGATTTTTACGCCCGGTTAAAACCGGGAGTTAGTCCATTTAGTGTAAAAATATATTTGTATTAAGATTAAGTCCTTTTTAAATTAAACGCCTAAAGGCAAATTTTTATTATTTTATTCGGTAAGAAGACCAAATAATCAAACAAGCACGTACGATCTGTGTTTCACACAAATGTCACACGTACGTGACCAGATAATTCAAAATAAGATATTTTCACGACAAAATGCAGTTTCAATTTAACCGTCTGTTGGTGAACTCTGACCTAACAGTTACAAACGTGTTACACATGCAATTCAACAAAGTGTCAGACACAAGTGGTTATCAACAAGCTCTGATTCTAATGCGAGGTTCAGACTAGCAATAATTTGCAGAAGTTGTCATCACTGTAAATCTTGCAGAAATTGGCTTGCCAAATCTATTTCACAGGTAAACAGAAACAGCTTGCGGATGTCAACTTCTGCAAGTTTTATCACTAGTCTAAAACTCGCTTAAGCAGTGATATTTTACTGGCATTTACTTAGTGATTCATCTTGTAGTGTGTACATTACAATACATTGAATACACAATAGGTGTACATGGTTAACATGTAGGTATTTATTTTTAAGGAGTATTTATAACTTACCAAGGAGACACGGACGAATCCGAACGCGGCATAGAAATAATAACATGTGTTAGTATCAGATACACATAATAATATTAACATAACATTCAAAGCTACGGTTCAGTAAAACGTAATGTTATGTTAAGAACTCACCTTCTTTGCTTTTACTACTTTTCTTCTTTCCATCTTTGTCCTGAAAAATGAGAGAAAAATGTTTTTAGGATTCGTAACGTGACAGATGAACAAGATGATTTAATTTGGGGTAAGAATCAAGTTATAATTTGTTGTAAACTTTTATGTAGTTTCATAACTTGCGTTTGATTCGCTTTATGACTCTAAAGTTGGGTAGGTGGAAAATCCAATAATATGATTTTCATAGACTGATATCATGGGGAGTTTTTATGCTATCGAAGTAATTCTTTCGCCATTTTTTTTAATATTGAGAGGTCAATCTTTACACCACCAAAATAAAATTTTGTCCGGTCCAGCCTTAAATTTTTTCAAGACTTTAGAAATATAGCTGTACCTTGCCATTGTGCAGCGCCAGAGCATCGTCGTCGCGCGCATCGGCGTCGTGCGCATGCGGCGAGCGAGCACCCGACACGCTGCCTGCCGGCATCACCGTGCGCGACTTCGGCTTGCGCCAGCCCTGGGGGATATGATAAGTTAGCACAACAGAAAACTTCTATAAAATACATCTGAAGGGGGGATTGGGGTTCCCCTCGAAGCCAGAGTAGCATGAGACGGAGCTGTAGACGAATGTCCAAGTCTGGACAATAGCTCGCGGCTCTATTTCATTGGGCTCCGGTGGACATCGTCGGACAGGCCCCACATACGTATAATTTCCGGTATTCGCAAAGCATTTTCCGACGAAAAAAATGGTATAATAAACTAAATCACTTTTGGTTTGAAGTCCTTAGTTTGCTAAGGGCTTAGGTATAATATCTATGTAAAACAAAAAAAAAAATATTAAAAATAGTTTTTCTTAGTCTCAGTACAATACTTTTTACCAACGAAAGAGCATTTAAACGTTTTATGTACAAAATATAAATTTCAAACTTTTTCACTTGCATAAAATGAAGTTAGGCACATCTTTTCCTTTCCACGCATGCAAGTACACGTAGCTTTAAGAATGCAAAATGCGGCCTAGAAGTACAAGTATGAAGTAATATTTAATTCCAAAACATCCCATGTTTATTTTGCTATCAAACTTGTAAATAATCTATGTTATTAATTTTTGATGATGTGTTCATCCATCCATCCATCAACCAACCTTTTTCTTTCTGTTACAGTCTTCATTGCTATTTTCGTGTTGCACCTCATCCGTCGTACTTTGATTATCACTAGAGTCATCCTTAATAATCTTTGACTCATCACTTAAAGTAATTGAATCTTTATGCGTATCACTTAGTTCCACTTCATTGCGTTCATTATCGCACACTGTATTTTCACCCTCTATCACATTTTCAAGAGTTTTTTCTTCACATATTGTTTCAACATTTTCACATACGATTTCACTATCGTCTAAACACGGCACGCGTTCTTCTTCGCACATTGTGCGGTCATAACTAGGTACTTTCTGTTGTCACGTCGTAAATGGCAATATTAGACATAAAATGCGAACGTCAATAACTTGCTATCACTTGGTCAACGGAGATAAGAGTATAAACATTAAACACACGGTAAGCACGGACGCGTTGAATGAGCACTGAGCCACCGCTCGACTGCCGTTCGGCATAATGTAAACATCGCGTCAAAGACTAAACAAATAACGTTTTATACCTATTCAACGTAGCTTGGTATTTTATTGAAGTGCTATTTGTAAAACTAGTTTTGTGGAACATATTGTAGGTTCTACTGATACGGTTTTTATTGATGAAATTGACGCTATTTAGATTTAGGGAGCAGTGTTTGTATTTTATTTACAAATACAATAAAATGACTAGAGCTACGGTTTACGTCTTGTACAAGCTATATTCAGTATGATGCAACATGATATCACTATCAGTCATTCATAAAAACGAGCACACAACGCACACAAGAATGTAGGTTACGCCTCTACACTTAAGATTGCATAATCTTTGACCGCGAAACTGCGATAAATAGGAGAGCAAGGTCTCATACGACTCGGCGGTGCGCGCGCGCCACATCTGACATTACGTCACAATGTGACTCATTCATAGAATCGTTTCTCTAGCAATTAATAATCATTTTGTTTATAAATAAACTATTGTTTTGTAACATTTCATAGTTATTTAAAACACGTTTTGCTACCAAAATTATTTTGTTAATAAGTTGCATTCCATCAACTAGTTTAAAGGTATTTATATTATTTTTTTGCGCAATTTACTGGTTTGACATCACCAACCTCATTTGGCGTAAGTTGTTATTATAGTATACCATAAGTCTGAGACTAAATTAAAATTTCAATGACCTGCGCCAAGTTTGGAGACAATTGCCATAAAGATTCTACTTTGTATTTGACACTTAGTACAAAACGTAACAATGCCGTTCTTCGTACCTACTCTGTTTCTTTTTATAGTTTTATTTTTTGTAATAAACATTAGTTTTTAAATTATCGATTTTATGGGTAGATGATATGAACAACTCACTTTATCGTCAAAGAAGCCTTGATCGTCTGTTCTCTGCTGACCCAGCAATCTGTCTGTCTCCAAATCCGTGTCTGCTTCATCTGTAAATAACAATTTGATAATTACTTAGTACAAATACTTTTTGCAGACCTTCATTCATTCAAGGATCTTATAAGCAGGTACATATAATAGAAAATCAATGGCTTGGAACCGACTTAAATAACTTTCTCACCTTCATCACCGCTTGCTGGTTTCACTTCTACTGATTCCGTGCTCTGTGCTGAAGATGGCCTTTTTCTGTAAGAAAGAAGTTGTTTCTATAATACCTAACACGTAAACGTATTTTATTATGTGATTTATGTATTCACAGTAATGTAATCCAGTCGACGGGGATAGAACTCAAGTCGCAGTTCAATGCTAACATTATTGGGCTTAATGTAATCTTTATTTATACACTTACTAGCTTTCCGCCCGCGGCTTCGCCCGCGTGGAATTTTGTCTGTCACAGAAAAACTTTATCGCGCGCGTCCCTGTTTCAAAAACCGGGATAAAAACTATCCTATGTTCTTTCCCGGGACTCAAACTATCTCTATGCCAAATTTCATCAAAATCGGTTGCTAGGTTTAAGCGGGAAAGCGTAACAGACAGACAGACAGAGTTACTTTCGCATTTATAATATTAGTTAGGATAGTTGATAGTTGGGATTATACCCGATATTTCAAACTCTTTGATTAAAATCGTAGCGGGTTCCAGAGGCACAGGCGTAGTGGTCAAGTTATCTCCTAGGATTGCTCAACCTTCACTGGTTGGGTTTCATTGGCAGCCGAATGCTAGATACAGGCTAAATATGTTGAAGTAGTGAGAACGAGAGGTGGGTTTAATTATTATTATTATAAAACTTTATTGCACAATAAAATAGTACAAAAGGTGGACTTAATGCTATTTGAGCATTCTCAGCCAGTCGACCCCTGGGTTATGCAGAAAGCTGTGAGTGTGAAGGTAGACGTAGAAGGGTAGAAGTTAAAATTGAAGTTAAATTTTTAATTGAATTGAAGTTTAATTACACGAAAATATTATTTTCAGCGGACAGCACTCGATTGTGATCAAGATTCAAGTGTTTTCGTGACAGATCTCTAGGTTGCATTTCTCGCCGACAGTGTTTTATGCAAAACAAGGATCAATTTGGCCGCAATCACACATGATTTTGAGGAGTGAGATACAGTCCAGGTACAGGGAATTACCCTAGAGTCTAGTCACCTCGAACAGGCGGCGAGCGGCGCGTGCGGCGCTTCGGGCGGCCTGTGCGGCGCCGGCGCCGGTGGTGGCGGCGGAACTTCGCACATTTTATAGGCGGTCAAGCTGTAGATCCTGGCTACACAGGAGTTGCAGCAGTGGGAACGAGAGGTGGGAATAGTCCTGTGCTTTCCTTGACGGTTATCGTCTGTTTCTCTCAGTGTTTCGTTATTTAGTCTCGTATTTCTTACCTGGACGGGTACACATCTTCGTGGTGTGGCGTATGCTGGGAGTATTGCGAGGGCGGCGCGAGGGGCGAGTGGTGCGAGTGCAGGGCGAGTGGTGTGAGCGCGGTGCGAGTGGGGCGAGCGCGGCGCTTCGGGCGGCCTGTGCGGCGCCGGTGGTGGCGGCGGGACTTCGCACATTTTTAAAGGCGGTCAAGCTGTATATCCTGGCTACACAGGAGTTGCAGCAGTGGGAACGAAAGCTGGGAATAGTCCCGTTTTCCTTGACGGTTATCTTCTGTTTCCCTCAGTGTTTCGTGGTTTAGTCTTGAATAACTCACCTGGGCGGGTACACATCTTCGTGGTGCGGCGGATGCTGGGAGGGCGGCGCGCGGGGCGAGTGGTACGAGTGCGGGGCGAGTGGTGCGAGCGCGGGGCGAGTGGTGCGAGCGCGGGGCGAGTGGGGCGAGCGCGGGGCGAGTGGTGCGAGCGCGGGGCGAGTGGGGCGAGCGCGAAGCTTCGGGCGGCCTGTGAGGCGCCGGCGCCGGTGGTGGCGGCGGGACTTCGCACATTTTTAAAGGCGGTCAAGCTGTAGATCCTGGCTACACAGGAGTTGCAGCAGTGGGAACGAGAGGTGGGATAAGTCCCGTGCCTTCCTTGACGGTTATCTTTTATTCCTCTCAGTGTTTCGTGGTTTAGTCTTGAATAACTCACCTGGGCGGGTACACATCTTCGTGGTGCGGCGGATGGTGGTGGTGCGGCATGTGCTGGGAATGCTGCGAGGGCGGCGCGCGGGGCGAGTGGTGCGAGCGCGGGGCGGGTGGTGCGAGCGCGGGGCCAGTGGTGCGAGTGCGGGGCCAGTGGTGCGAGCGCGGGGCGAGTGGTGCGAGCGCGGGTCAGTGGTGCGAGCGCGGGGCGAGTGGTGCGAGCGCGGGTCAGTGGTGCGAGCGCGGTGCGAGTGGTGCGAGCGCGGGTCAGTGGTGCGAGCGCGGGGCGAGTGGTGCGAGCGCGGGTCAGTGGTGCGAGCGCGGGGCGAGTGGTGCGAGCGCGGGGCCAGTGGTGCGAGTACGGGGCGAGTGGTGTGAGTGGGGGGCGAGTGGTACGAGCGCGGGGCGAATGGTGCGAGCGTGGTGCTAGCGCGGCGAGCGGCGCTTCGGGCGGTCTGTGATGCGCCGGCGCTGGCGGTGGCGGTGGGACTTCGCACATTTTTAAAGGCGGTCAAGCTGTAGATCCTGGCTACACAGGAGTTGCAGCAGTGGGAATAGTCCCGTGCTTTCCTTGACGGTTATCGTGTTTCGTGGTTTAGTCTTGGATAACTCACCTGGGCGGGTACACATCTTCGTGGTGCGGCGGGTGGTGGTGGTGCGGCGTATGCTGGGAGTGCTGAGACGGCGGCGCGCGGGGCGAATGGTGCGAGCGCGGTGCGAGGGCGGCGAGCGGTGCGTGCGGCGCTTCGGGCGGTCTGTGAGGCGCCGGCGCTGGCGGTGGCGGCGGGACTTCGCTGCATGCTGTGAGATATACATATAAATTTTGATATAACACTAGTACAGTCTGGGTCAGCTAGTTCGTGACACCCAAAGTAGGCAAAAAGTTCGCAACACGTCTTTGTTACAATTGGAACAAGGTGTTCTTGTAAATTTTTTGGCCACTTTGGGTGTGAGATCTATTTGTCGCTGACTGCACACAGGCTGGCTCAAAAAGAGTTAAGACTCGACTACATTGTGAACTGCGATATTCTATTTATTGGTTTATGAGAATTCCAGGCGATTAGAACTTGTCTGCTCGTGTAAGCTGGCCCTTGGTTAAACTTTATTTCAATTTAATATACCGATACTCCAAAGATTTTAAAGTTGGAATTGAACCCAACGAAAACGAGGTAGTAGGATAGATTTACGGAATATAAGTATGTCAATGTTTATTCACTAATTCAATAAGGATAAAAGACAATTAAATCCTGACTAACCAAAGCACCTATTTTAAGATTATGACCTGAATAACATACCTATGTAAAACATAGGTATTATTTTCCATCCACAGTACTTTAATCAATCAATAACTACAACTCATAAAACAAGAAAGCTCACCTAGTGGATCCAGGGAGTGTAAGTCAGCATCCGAAAGAGGCACATGAGAATCTGCAGTTCCATTCTCAATAATTTCTTCTATTATAACTGATGAATGGTTCTGCAAAGCAATAACAACATTAGACATTTACGTAGTTAGACAATTTTCTTCAAGATAGTAAGTTGCATATGAGAACTAAGCAGTGATAGGTATACATGTATGAACATGTCCTACTAACTGGAATAAAGCCACACGTCAACTATGGATTGTGGTTATTCACCAATACCTACTCCAGTCAGCAGTGGCGGGGCAAGACCTAAATTTGATGTGGGCAAGACAGATTTCGCGAGGCCTTGTTCTGTGGCGACCTGAAGACGGATTTTATGAAATAATAAAAAAAAACGGGTTATGGTCTATTCATTGACAGTTTCTGATTTCTTGATTTAGTGATTATTTTTAAAGGAATATTGCGCCAAAGAACTTAATAAAAAAGTTCGTTTTAGACTTAATTTTGAGTCTGATTATGGCTGAATTTGTTTGGAAAAAAATATATTTTTATTTTTAACTACATTGTTTAGCTATCAAGAATTTAATAGTCAATGTTTGCATTTATTGTCGTATTGTGATATTGTCATCTCCACCTTGTATACATTTTTTCAAAATTTTTGATGCGCGAGGCCCCTTGTACCGCGAGGCCGTAGGCGGTGGCCCACGTCGCCTACGCCTTACGCCGCCACTGCCAGTCAGTCACGAAGGCTCGGCATAGATTAATAAAGATGTGTTTCATTACATAAGTTTGACTGTATGGACCGACGAATTCAAGATGATTGGTGGTAGTGGTTGGTCCAAAGAGCGACAAAATTTGGTTTGGAGCTCTTTAGGCAAGCTTATGTCCAGGTCCAGCAGGGGTCAGCCATAGGGTCATAATAAATAAATAAATAAATAAATCTTTGGACAATTTCACACAGCGCCAGCTAGCCCCAAAGTAAGCAACTTAATTATGATGATGTGGCGTACATATGATGATGTGGCGTACATATGATGATAACGTATTTTTTATAAAGTGGCGTACAAACCTGGTTATTATTGTCGGTGTCCGACGCATGTCCGGAAGACAGGCCATCTTCCACCACAGGCAAGTGCGTCACCACCACTCGCGCGGTTTCCATCTGTATTGCGTTTGCTGTGGACAATATAAAACTTGTAAATAACAGTGAAAATAAAAACCAAAATATGTACAGCGACAGCACATCAGACAACATTTATTACATAACATGCCAGTGTTTAGTTTCGAAATCCTTGGGGGAGACCTTTGTTCAGCAGTGGACGTCATTTGGTTGAAAATAACGTTTAGTTTAATGTGATGTTTACTATGGATTTTCTGGCCAGCACTGGCCCCTATTTTTGTTCAGAAGCAGAAAATTGAGCGAGCAAGAGGTCGCTGGTTTTGGACGATAGCGCGAAAGGCATGTGGTAGCGTTTTATTTAGACCTTTGATCCTAGGAAGTAACCGAAGCAGTTCACTTTTCATCTCCGCTAGGTCGTTCTTCATGATCATAATTGACAGATCACTACCGCTGTCACTGGTATCAGACGACAGCGCGAAAGTGCACGCGATCGCCGCACTCCCGCCCACTAATTCTTTAGAAGTAACTGAAGCAGATCAATATTATGGCTAACCTTTCATCTCCATCCTCCATGATCATAAGCGAGAGGTCTCTGTTACTGTCGCTGGTGGATGACAGCCTAAAGGTCACGTGGTCCCGCTCGCGCCTAACTGGATTCACCGAGACCGAGAACACCTAGGAGTTGTTAGCTCACCTTTCATTTCAGCCAGGTCATTCTCCATGATCATAAGTGACAGATCACTACCGCTGTCACTGGTGTCAGACGACAGCGCGAAAGGCACGCGATCTCGCTCCCTTTCGCGCCACGCCAGCGCCGTGGGTGACGCGACTTTTTATCCTAGAAGTAGGTACTTGAAGTACCTAGATAATATTATAGGTAGCTCACCTTTCATCTCTGCCAGGTCGTTCTCCATGATCATAATTGACAGATCACTACCGCTATCACTGGTATCAGACAACAGCGCAAACGGCACGCGGTCTTGCTCGCGCCGCGCCGGCGCCGCTGTTGACGCGACCTTATATCCTAGAAGTACTTGAAGTTACCAATATTACAACTCACCTTTCATCTCCGCCAGGTCGTTTTCCATGATCATGAGTGACAGGTCGCTGCCGCTGTCACTAGTGTCAGACGACAGCGCGAAAGGCACGCGGTCTCGCTCGCGCCACGCAGGCGCCGCTGTTGACGCGACCTTATATCCTAGAAGTACTTGAAGTTAGCAATATTACAACTCACCTTTCATCTCTGCCAGGTCGTTCTCCATGATCATAAGTGACAGATCACTACCGCTATCAGTGGTATCAGACAACAGCGCAAACGGCACGCGGTCTCGCTCGCGCCGCGCCGGCGCCGTTGGTGACGCGACTTTTTATCCTAGAAGTAGGTACTTGAAGTGCCTAGATAATATTATAGGTAGCTCACCTTTCATCTCTGCCAAGTCATTTTCCATGATCATAATTGACAGATCACTACCGCTATCACTGGTATCAGACGACAGCGCAAACGGCACGCGGTCTCGCTCGCGCCGCGCCGGCGCCGCTGTTGACGCGACCTTATATCCTAGAAGTACTTGAAGTTACCAATATTACAACTCACCTTTCATCTCCGCCAGGTCGTTTTCCATGATCATGAGTGACAGGTCGCTGCCGCTGTCACTGGTGTCAGACGACAGCGCGAAAGGCACGCGGTCGCGCTCTCTCTCGCGCCACGCCGGCGCCGTTGGTGACGCGACTTTTTATCCTAGAAGTAGGTACTTGAAGTACCTAGATAATATTATAGGTAGCTCACCTTTCATCTCTGCCAGGTCGTTCTCCATGATCATAAGTGACAGATCACTACCGCTATCAGTGGTATCAGACAACAGCGCAAACGGCACGCGGTCTCGCTCGCGCCGCGCCGGCGCCGCTGGTGACGCGACCTTATATCCTAGAAGTACTTGAAGTTACCAATATTACAACTCACCTTTCATCTCCGCCAGGTCGTTTTCCATGATCATGAGTGACAGGTCGCTGCCGCTGTCACTGGTGTCAGACGACAGCGCGAAAGGCACGCGGTCGCGCTCTCTCTCGCGCCACGCCGGCGCCGTTGGTGACGCGACTTTTTATCCTAGAAGTAGGTACTTGAAGTACCTAGATAATATTATAGGTAGCTCACCTTTCATCTCTGCCAGGTCGTTCTCCATGATCATAAGTGACAGATCACTACCGCTATCAGTGGTATCAGACAACAGCGCAAACGGCACGCGGTCTCGCTCGCGCCACGCCGGCGCCGCTGGTGACGCGACCTTATATCCTAGAAGTACTTGAAGTTACCAATATTACAACTTACCTTTCATCTCCGCCAGGTCGTTTTCCATGATCATAAGTGACAGATCACTACCGCTGTCACTAGTGTCGGACGACAGCGCGAAAGGCACGCGGTCGCGCTCTCTCTCGCGCCACGCCGGCGCCGTTGGTGACGCGACTTTTTATCCTAGAAGTAGGTACTTGAAGTGCCTAGATAATATTATAGGTAGCTCACCTTTCATCTCTGCCAAGTCATTTTCCATGATCATAAGTGACAGATCACTACCGCTATCACTGGTGTCAGACGACAGCGCAAACGGCACGCGGTCTCGCTCGCGCCGCGCCGGCGTCGCTGTTGACGCGACCTTATATCCTAGATGTACTTGAAGTTAGCAATATTACAACTCACCTTTCATCTCTGCCAAGTCATTTTCCATGATCATGAGTGACAGGTCGCTGCCGCTGTCACTAGTGTCAGACGACAGCGCGAAAGGCACGCGATCTCGCTCCCTTTCGCGCCGCGCCGGCGCCGCTGGTGACGCCGATCCGCTCCACGCAGCGCCCACGCTTAGCTCGGATACATTGGGCTCAGGGTACCGGGATACTGATCTTTGTTGCTGGAAAGACGTTGATTGGTTTTAGACCTCGAGGTTGGTAGGTAAGTAACGTTATAAATACATTCGGCCGCCATGTGATACGAAGGCTTGGTGTACCGGGACACTGATCTATAAATATGTATAGTATCACAGTACACCAAGCCTTCTTGCTGTGCTGGAAAGTTGAAGATTGGTTTTCGATCTCAAGAATCAAAATCTTGTGTGGGTAAAATTCAAAATATGATTGACTGATATAATACAACATTAGGCTATTCAAATTTCTTTGTGGCGCGCGACATTTCTGTGATATGGAGTGGCCAGTCTAAGATTCAGAACATAAGCATTTTTCCTATCAGAGCTAAGCGTCCACGTGTCGGTGTCGTATGCATCGGACGTATCGCACGCAACGGATCGTAGTATTATTTATATGGAAACTCATATAAGTGCGTCCACCTGTCCGCATCGTACGCATCGCACATCCGATACGGTGTTTCGTACGATGCGTCCGTTGCGTACGATACTGACAAGTGGACGCTTAGCTTAAGGACGTTGAACGAGAAGCCAGAAGAGATTAGATACGAATTGAGGAGCAGCAAGAAGCGAATTAGTTCCGATAATTTTGTCGCGTGACAAATTACTCTTTCTCCTTCGCGGTAGGACAAGTGCAATAGCTCTTTACCTGTAGTCCCAAGAAGTTTGTGTGATTATGCGCCGTATGCGGTGAGTCCAAGGTGTCAGTAACATGCGGCCACTCGGACTCGCTGCCGGCCTCCAGTCCATTCTCGGAGGGACACTCCTGCGTCTGCCTCCGCAGCTCGTAGTCCAAGTCCTGCACGAGAGACTTTGAGGATGTTAGCTATTCTTCTCGTCACAGTATAAGGTGTATCGTTTCAGCCAAATGACGTCTACTGCTGGACAAAGGCCTCCCCCAAGGATTTTCATAACGATTGGTCCTGCGCTGCCCGCATCCAGGCTCTTCCCGCGACCTTCACCAGATAGTCGGTCGATAAAGTGTAGTGGTTTGTGGGTTTTTTGATTGATTTTAACAGTTTATAGCGCAAAGAAGATGTCTAACATAATCGGCCAGTTTCTTCAGCCACTTCTCAACCTTATGTTGTCTATAAGTGGTGATAGAGCAAGAGCAAGCTACATATGTTTGAGGCGTATGTAAGCGTACATACCAAATGTAGGTCTTTTTCAGAAGCCCTTATAAAGAATTTGAATTTTTAATCGAATATTTTCATGTCAAATCTAAAGAATTTGAAGCCCGCATAAAGTAAATTCAAGTTCAGCAAGATTTCGATTACAAAAAATGTTGTTATGGGGTCTGATTTTCAAGAACATCTGTGAAAAAAGAATACTTTATTATCGTGTTTACATTTTGTATTTCAGCAATCTCAAAACACCTTCCCATAAATTTTCAAACTTATAATAACATTGCGCCAGCAATATCCCATACGCCTACCATGAAATTTTATGTTCATTGTTTTGCGTGTTAAAAACACCGCTACAATCTTGGCTTCAGAGTAAGGGGATATAAAGATGTGCCATCACATTCCGTGTTATGGGCATAAACAGAGACAGGGATAGCCTATTCCGACAGTATTGCCCCGTATTCTTATTAGATATACGAAAGACGCGCGTGTTTTTTCTGTAATAAATGCTGGCAAAAGTCAGAAACAAATTACCATACTATTAAAATATGCGATATGACGCCAATTGATAGTCAATTAAGTTTAGATTGCGTAAATTGATTTCATAATAGCTAGAAATGTAATTACCTAGTTGAATAGTACTAATTGTGTTTTCAAGTATAAAATGAAACGTTTATTGGAGAGGTAGCGTCTTCGAATTATTTTAAATGCCAATTGCTTTATAAAATAGTGAAAAACAAGTTGGATTTCAAATCAACACGATCCCAATTTTGGCAATAGCTAAGAGAGCTGTTCACTAATTTTATCTTTAAACGAAATTAGATTTTATTGATAAGAAACTTAACAGCGTTAAAGGCGATTATCGCGTTACCTTCCCAATAGCACTTACAAGGGATAGTATGCCAGTTAAGCCAACCAACCTGAAAATTAACAATCTCGTCGTTGCTGTTCAACTGAGCGTGGCCCGTAACAGCGGGACATCTGAAGAACTCTTCTAATACTTTTCTAGTTTCCGAAAATTCGTACAGGTAGTCGAACGCCGCCGACCCCGACGGCGGTGAAATGTCTCTGCTTTCTGTCACTACCCTCTGGAAATAAATTATGCAATAAAAATTAAGGCTTATTCATTCATTCATTCACTCACTCATCCAATCAGTGACTTAACACGAAATTTCCAAGAGTACGTACACTTGACTGAGTCAAAATTTAAATAGGTTTGTCTCATACATTTAACACAAGTTTGCTCTACCTTTGAATTCACCCTTAAAACTCTATAGTTGACTGTCTTTTTTTCTTCAAAACCTTCTGTATAGGTCGCTTAACGAAAGTTGAGGCTCACACATGCTCTATATTATTTGAATCATAGAATCGTATACAGATACAAAATCTTTGCTTGTGTTGGTTGATTGCCTCAACTCTTGTTGCGCGGCCTATGCCATTTTAGATGTTCCTTTGTTCAGTCTTTCGTAAGACAGATAATAATTAAACGTTTGAACCCTTAAAGAAAGTTTCAATTGTTACCCGTATATCGATTGCCTTTAAAAGCGTCATGACCCGATCGTGTTCAAGGTGAAGGTCAGAAAGGGGTGGGTATATTACTCCAAAATGTGTCACAGCATTGATTTGCTTTAACACTTTGACTGGTCTTGAAAAATATACTTTTCACTGACTTTGTACCTTATTTTATGCCATTAAAGCTCAATATAATTTGACACTACCAGTAAAAGGATATCGGTAAAATGGGTATGTTTGGGAAGCAAAATGAAGTATGGGTTACATTTACCGTGGTTTGGTACTAGAACAGGTCAGCGGTATATTTTATGACTAATATCGAACACCAAAAACTTTATGGCGGTTTTATACTTTACTATTTTTACTGTAAGATACTTGTAATAAAAAAGGTTGAGTGAGAGTGCAATATGTAAGAACCATTAAATCTTGATGTTACAATTTATGTACTACTAGCGGCCGCCCGCGATTTTGTACGCGTGGATCCCGTTTTACCTCCTTCATCTATCTTACGCGGTTTAGACTTGTTCATACAAATGTTTTTTCCCGCTAACTCCCGTTCCCGTGGGAATTTTGCAATATCCTGTTGTAACTAAGCTTTAAGTTTACTAAGGTACCTACATGCCAAATTTCAAGCGTCTAACTTAAGCGGTTTATATTTTTCATACAAAAGGATTTTCCCGCTAATTCCTGTTCCCGTGGGAATTTCTAAGTATACTATAACCTGACCAGGAGTATGAAGAATAATTGTACCAAGTTTCGTTAAAATCCGTTGAGTAGTTTTTGTTTCTATAAGGAACATACAGACGGACAGACAGACAGACAGACAAAAATTTTACTGATTGCATTTTTGGTATCAGTATCGATCACTAATCACCCCCTGATAGTTATTTTGAAAATATATTTCATGTACAGAATTGACCTCTCTACAGATTTATTATAAGTATAGATTAAAAGTATATTCTACACGGATCAATTTTATTAGTCTTCTGAAACTCATAATAATCATATTTCTTGTGAGAGACGTAACGCTGACCAAACTAAGCAAATTAATTTTGCTATTTTGGATTTACCATCAGTGTATCGAAACAAAAAAACTCGTGGGAGTTCTAAACAAAAAAAAAGTGTCGAAGTTTCTATGAACCCTAATTATTGAAAAATTTACAAAAATAATTTTAGACCCGTTTATAAAGTTTTGCTAGGTTAACCTTATTAAGGTTCTACTACCATGTAAAATTTTCCAAATAAATTTACTTAATACAGTTTAAGCTTGAATTACGATCGGAACAAACTTTAGTGTTGGTGCAAAGTTACACCTTACATACCTAAAGGCACCCTATAAATTTTACTACAGAAAACTGTTGGTTTTCTAAGAAAGGTAAAGTTCGTGCCATACTTTCATCGTTCGTAGGTACTACTAATAATAAATCAATGCCCGTCTTATGCTACAATAGAGAAATACGGATCTCAACGCGACATTTTTTGTATGAGTTACTTATGTAGGTACTCTCGGCTTGACGTTTAGGCTGCTATGCTGCAGTCGCAAAAGAAATGGAACGCGAGTTTAAAATCTTATACCTACCGTTTTATGATTACCACCGGAAAATTAGAATATCGCCCGTATTCACTAACGATGCTTGCTGAAGTGAAGCAGCAAATCGAACGCACAGCGTTGAATAGAGCTCTGTGATTGGATCGTATGTCACCCTGTGAGTCCACGCGCACTGTGAGACTTCATAGTAATGTTTGTGATTACAGGCGTATGTCAGAGAACAAATAAAAAACAAATGACTCTCACCTGTGGGAAGCCGGGCCTCGGCGATCTATTTGTCGTTTTTTGAGCTACAATGCCGTACCTCCGCGGCGACCCCTCGTATTCAGCTATAGGCAGTTCCCCTATCACTCTAGTAACCCTGTTCTTGTCCTCATCACCAGACAACCACACCCCGGAGGGACTGGCGTCACTCAGCCGCACGTCTTCCCGCGACGGAGTCGACTCACTACCCGCGTCACTCTCACTCTTATTGTTCAACATATCACTGTCACCGTTTTTCATATTGTCAATAGTCCTTTTTACACTCATATCTATCTCGTCATCACTAGCATCGGGTTCCGTCCTCAAACCTAGAGACACAGAATTCAATATCACTGAAAATAAAAGAAAGAGAAAAAAAGATTTTGTGAATAACAATGGTTAATGGGAAGGATGGAAAGAGGATAAAACGGATACCGTACATAATTATCATCGCAAAGAATACAATCAAAATTGAAACGTAAAACGTCACGCTTTGGGTTAATTTTCATATAAATGATGGTAATTATGTACGGTCTCAAGAAATACAAAAATTAAGAGTGAAAGAAGAGAGGAGTGGAAAAAGCAAAAGCGAAGAGTTAAAGCAAATATGACACGACAAAGGAAAAGAGTATGAAAATTAATGAATGTATAACAAAAGCGAATTTAATCGAAAGTATAGCATAGATCAATTAACTTACTGTTTCACAAGTAAATTGATCTATTCTATACTTTTTACAATATTATTTTTTTACAGAAAATATTTTAAAATGTTGTTTCATAAGAAGTTTCAGTTCCATTACTATGGTTTTTAACCTATCGTTATCCATAGCTGTTGTAAAAGCTGACAACAAATAAAGTCAAAATCACCTTTCCAGTCGTCGTTGTCGTCAAAAACAACGACTTCCCCATCAGCCACTACAGCTATGGGGCTGCTTTTTGTGCTGACATCTGTAGTTTTATGGGGGTCGAGTATTGGAGAACTGTTTTTGGGAATGCCCATGGGGTTGGCTTCAATTATAGGTTCCCTGTCCCCATTCGTGTAGGTGGGCGACGTGTGTCTGGACACCATCTTTTTGGGCTCACTGTTTATCCTATGTAATGGGATCTGGAATGAAAGCCAGTGTTTTAAAATTTAGCTAAGTTACAAGTTGACGAAACATACAACTATATATTTCAAAGTTAGATAGTAGAGAAAGATCACTCAGAATTGTTAGTGCCGCACAAGAATTGACAATCAACTAATTTTAGAATATTAGTTACAATAATAATAATATGTTACAGAAAGTGATTAATTTCCAGGTAAGTAACACGGTGTATAAACTCTGAAAACGTGCAACAAGTAAAGCACCATAAAACAACGTCATAATGTTTTTGTATTTTCCCCTATATCGTAATACAATGTGTCCTGCGGGAGTTGACCGGGTTGAAATATTGTTTGTATTTTCTCTGCCATGACCATTATTCTCCTCTGTGAATTAAACCATTCCCCCATTGATATCCAGCGAGAATAAATCGATAGAGGCTCCCTGCACCCCTTTTCAGGTCGTGCTTAGTAGTGCGTGAACTACGACCTTTAGCGTTGACCTATTGCGTTAAAAAAGTACGTACCTCATTTGTAATGTTCTCCGTGCCGTAGTCGACAGTGTCCTTGTTTAGGGAGCGCACTTTGTTCCTCATGTTGTGTTTGTGTGTGTTGTTGTGTCGCAGCTTCCGCACGGCCTTGGTCCGGCTCTGCGAGTATATTTCCCGACCTCCCGCTATTTCTATTATCCTGGTACACGAGAGAGTAGTTTGTTACAAAGTGAGGAAAGCCTTGGATTTAAACGATATATGGGTAAAGGCAACTTGGTGGCAGCTATTCGGAGCACCTGTACACTTGTTGCCATCGAAACATTTACCACAACTGATTATTCGTAGTTGCAAAAGCGAATTTGCATATTCTATCAGAATGTAGGTACTCAGTCAACAGGTTTAGCAAAATCGTACCTATCAGAACTGTATAAGACGCCACAGACAGTGGTAAGCTCGAGGTGCCATCGTCCGTTATAAGATAGGTACGTACTCTTTACATATTTAAGTACATAAATAGGAATTACTTAAAGGAAATTTAATATGATTGTGCTTCAATGTCGTAGACAGTGAAAAACCGGATTAAATAGGTTTCATAATCTTAATCTAGAGATTTTAGAATAGTCTCATATCTCTCACCTAGAATCTCTGAGTTTGTAAGTGCCACCTTTAGAGTTAAGGATGACAAGCTGCCCCTCCCCTCTCTCGTCGTCGGAGGAGACGTTGTTGACATTGTTGTCCCGTTCTCTCTCGCGCCCCTCCAGCGTGGAGCTCAGTCTGAAAAAGAGATAGATATAATCCATTAGACTCTGCCAAAAGTTTGTTAGAGTACGTCGCTCAACACAGCTGGTAAAAATAGATTTAATGAATAAATAAAAAAGTTTGGTACATTGTCTTTGGTGGTCTAACTTTGTTCTTATAGAGTTTCTGGCTATTTATCAGAAGCATATCGACCGGTGTAAGAAAATAACATTTTTCTTAGCTAAAAAGAGACTTTTATGAAGGATCCGTTTACATGTGTCCATTTACTTTAATAATCCGTTTATATCATTCAACCTTAAAGATAAGTACGAATATATACCTATCCTTAGTATTAGAGATTCCTTCAGAGAGGTAGAGCATATAGTATTAATTAACTAATTTATCTTGCTTAATCATAATTAGAATACCTACATGTTCATGTTTGCAGTAACTAAATTAAAGCTTAGTGCTTGATAAAATGCAACTTAATTTAACCAAAACTAGAACGAAACAAATTATTCACTCGCAGAACAAAAATAACATCTAACGCTACGTGTTTTCATAACTTTTTCATCACACTGAAAAATTAAAACAAATACCTACGCTCGAGAGGGACCGAATGAACAACAAGACGAAAAACAATTGGAAAAAGTTTTATATTAAAAAGTTTATTGTAATAAAACGAGAGCTTTTTAGTACAATCGACCTTATGTATTATGTATGGGACAAAACTATTTAACTATGGTGCTAATGCAACGCTACAACGAAAATAGAAAAGACTGTAGAAATCGTAAATTAAAATATTTTTCCTGCACACTTTACTTGGAATCTAGAAATATCAAGAACAACATTATAACACTAAAACCCCACAGTCCAGTTAAGCTAGCGATTAATGCTAAAATAACTGGACTAGTACGGTTGTGTTAAAATCCCAGACGAACTTAAATAAACAGGCATGGGATAACTAATCGAGTAGACAGTAATTTATAGCTCTAGCTAACGCGACAGCTCGATCGAATGTAGATGCTGTCAGCCCTACAACACAAAACCAACTTTGCGGATCAGCACTTCAACATTGAAATGCAAGCGTTACCAGCAAGTACACTTCCACTTTATGTTGTTTGTGATGCAGAGATTGCGGTGTCGCTCTCCGCCCGAGGGCAAAGGGAAAGCGAAATGAGTTGGAACATTCTGCATGGCCAAGTTCAATGTTTTTGCTTAGTCTAGCGATATTTCTAGGTTATCTAAACACTATGTTATTGTGGATTGGTCGAGTCAGTGCAGTTAGTGCTAATTTTGGCACATACAGGGTGTGTCACCTCAAATATTGTTAGTCAAAGGCGTCCACGAATTGAGACGTCATAATCCGGTTTCGCATAAAAAATCCAGTAGGGAGAGTCGCGTTTTGAAAGCACATAAAAAGTTTATCAATTGACTATCAACTACCTGCCCTATTTATAGAACCTTTTTCGAAACAGTAATTATATCTTCTGGGAGTTTATTATTATCATTAAGTGAAAGAACCATCAATTATTATGCTTACATTACCTTTCCTGTGCCGTGATAGTTTAATGTTCAAATCCAATGACAAAGCTGTGGAAATCCTACGAAAAATAGCAAGAATGTTATTTTTCTCCAGATATCCACTGTTTTCTTAGGCCTGTTAATAAAATTTGCTTAATCTGTGTCGTTAATTTGTCTTCTGAAGTTGCCGATCCGCGATCTGTCTCATCTGGTTAAGGGGCAAACTTGTTGTTTTTTCCAAAGTTAATATTGAAGAAGTTGACACCAACTTTGTAGCTCGTGTAATTAATTATGTCCAGGGTTTAATGAAGTCCCGAAGGATTACTTGGTTAAGAAATTCGGAGGGATTTTTTGCACAGTCACCTTAATCCATGTTTTTATCCTTATCTTTACGACACTAATTTTTAAATACACATAATAAAGTAGGAATGTTCAAGATAATATGGTTCTAAGAGTTCTAACTAAAACATGCACAAGGTATTTGAACTGGTTATCATCATGATCACAAACGATTGCTAACCAACGTTATGGTAAATATTGCACACAGGGTGTAAGGGGTGGTATAATGCATTTTTTATGGAGAATATGTGTGTAATGAGTCGGAATACGTTAGTTAGAGTTTATATAAATGAAACCTGACCTTAGTTGACTGTTTATGCTATTGTCAACGTATTCCTTACACCCTTGCACCGGTTATATGTAAAAACTAGACGAGCCACTTAAATACGTACCTGGTTTGGCAGAACCCAAGGTTTTCTTGCCTTGCCAGTTGGATTTTCTGATTTGATACTGCGCCCGTTTGACCTAGAGGTTGTGATTGAAGCGAGATTTTGCGCAAACATTTACCTATAAAGTCAGGACTGCAAGATCTTGAGGCAGTTCTTGGGGCTTGAAATTGCTTGATCCAGAGGAGGAGTCTTCCAGTCTTCAATTCTTGTGTGAGGAGAATTTGCGTAACTTGACGGACGTCATCCAGGCGATGCGTAGCTGACAACAGTACGCGTCGCCTGAATGTCGCGTCCACCACATTACGCTGTCTGCAGTCTTGAAACTTCACCTCTTCTTAGGCAACTTGAGTCTTGATCTGCTGTTGAGTCATTTAAGAACATTAAATGCAATAAGTATCATTTGAAGATGAGAACGCCCCCGACTCATCGTTCTTGGATACTTTTATAAAGCAGTACATAAGAAAGTGCTGCGTGGATCTGATCAAGGCTGCAAGGTTTTCAAAGGGCTTTCCGCACCTCCCAAGTTGGTTCTGCAAACTCTTGGGGCGTATTACTTGACCGACGTCGCACCGCACCATCCTCCCCCCGCAGGCTCTCTGTAGCCAATGTGATTGTTTTAACGCGCAGCCGCTCACCTCTCGTGTTGGTGCTGTATGTTCTTGGGGTGGCACTTGGGGAAGAGCCGCGTGATCCGCTCGCCGACATCAGAGCCGGGTGTAGTCGCCTGCGCCGTCGCCCGCAGGTTCTCAGAGCCAATGTGATTGTTCTAACGCGCTCACCTCTCGTGTTGGTGCTGCATGTTCTTGGGGCGGCACTTGGGGAAGAGCCGCGTGATCCGCTCGCCGACGTCGGAGCCGGGCGTGGAGTCGCCCGCGCCGTCCGCCCGCAGCGCGGCCGCGCTCATGACGCCTCCACGGTCACGCCCCAATGGCTCCTAAGACAAATGATATGGAATTTTAATCTACTTTGCATGCACGTTTGATGGTGAATAGATATAATATTTGAGGAAAGTAATTACAAATCCTGAAATTGTAATTTGATTATAAGCGGTTTTCAGAGCTAATTGTGAAGATTAGATTAACTTTATCCAATTTCCAAGATGCCACTTAAAGTTCTTTGCTCTCTGCAGACTGGATAAACAGCTTACTCGTAATTGATTCTAAAATATCATACTGATTTCTGATGGTAACTAAAAACAGGCAATATCTTTACTAACTCAGACTGTGTGTGTGTTTAATTAAACCAATATAATCAATTGTCTCCTTATCGTCTAATTGTTTCGTCATTGGCAAGCTGCCTCATGTTAATGCTCGATATCCAACAAGCACAGTCATTACGCTCCGCTTGGCAAACCAAACATGTGTATGGGCTCGGCTGACTGGACAGAAGCCGCTAATGACGCTGCTGCTCTTATGAATTAGGTATAGCCTTGTATTAACAAGGTTTATGATTATTCTCAAGTTTCCTTACTAATAAAAAGTACACCTAGGATGAACCTTGGATTAAAATGACATTTCCATACTAAATGACAATTTAAGCCAGAGTTCAACTAGGGTGTAACTTTTATTAATTAGGGGATGCGTCATTAATGTTTTGATTACCTGAAAATGTGACAAATCGATTTTTAGGTCAAGTAACAGATCATTTTAAATCAATCTTAATCAATTCGAGATTTGATATTTTCCCTGAATGGCACAAAAGTAAATTGATTTGCTGGGAATCATAGCATGAAATATCGCTGAAAACTCTGTTTCGGGACACCTTAAAACAAAAGTTGATAGAGGAGTAGCTAGAGTACTTTTTAAGAAGAATCGTCATCCCTATTACGTACTCGTAGGTAGATATCGAGAGCAAAATTGCCTCTTTACAAAATCACTCCAACGTCAATGGTATCGCACTAGCCTAGTCAAAGAGCTGCAGAAGCTGTTCTCTACATTTTCCCTAATACCCATAGCTTTAAGGTTGAATATACCGTGCAGAACGGTGTTCAAGATAGGCCGATCGTGTGCCGCATGGCACTGCCTGTAACGGCTGCCAAACTACAGAATCGATACCGCATTAGAGGCGGGGCCATAAGAAAAGCGAAAGAAAACTTGAAAAAGAAAAGATTTAAGTTTAAAAGTTAAAATGATGCAATACAATAAATACATTTTTTAATATTGCGACTAAATAAAACTTACAAAACAACAAAATGCAGTTTCTCCGTAGCGCATTTCACTGCCATATTTTGCTATTTTAATGTTAAACGTTTATTTTATTTTTCTTTATTCGGAAAACCACAGATTCTCATTGTTTTCAGTTTATAAAAGCATTTTGAGAATATCATTTCCTTATCCTTATTCTTTTGTTTTAATTTTGTATTGTAATTTATAAAAAAGTCTTCATTTCTAGACTTATAAAAAGTTTAACATTTAGCAAATAATTTTACACTGAGGTAGAGTCCATTGACCTCAAAGACTAACAAAGGCAAACCCTATTTTGGTTGCGTGTTTAATGCCTAGAGCCCATTTAGCGGTAAACTTTAATGCTAGATCCATTCTACGGCTTCAAAACATGAAATCCACTTTACTGTGGCATAAAATGATGTGTGTTAGTACTCACAGATATTTTCGAGTCTTTATATTTGGCTAATGTTTTGACGCAATGTTTGTAGTAAATAAATATTTTTGAGCCTCCGAGCTGAAATAAGAATATTTTATTGTAATAAACAATTAAGCCCCTAATATTTATCCCTATGTAAGGTACTTGTGAATCAGTGCTAATTATTTAATAAGAGTCACCGAACTTAGGTAGTTAAGTTAGTCTTGAAGATAAATACAAAACAACTTTAACCGCGACTTTTGACGTGCATTTTGTTTTTAAGAAATTTCTCCCACCGTAAGTACGAAACGCTACCGCTACTGACTTTTGCACTTTACAAAAACTGTACGTAGATATACGTATGTATAGTGCATAGTTGAAACATTGTCTCGAAACTTTGCCCTGAATCGCTGGTTTCGGTGACTCACGGAAAATTTTCAGCATGCATATACCCGGGAAGTGACGACACCCGACTCTGGGGTGGTTTTATTGCCTAACTGTCTAGTCTGGATGTTTTACTCCTTGCTTGGGATATAGTGTGATTAATGTGACTATGTGTGTGTGAGGAGACGGAATAGATTTTCGTTCTTTTCACCTACGTAGCTGGCTGCAGTACAGGTTACGGCGAGATGCAAATATTTTAACTTGGATGGTGCGCATTGTAGTCCCTTAAAAGGGGAGACATTAATCTTATCACATGCAGATCTGCAGCCTCCGAAAGCCTTTGTTCTATTGTAAACAGACGTGCGTTGCTGATGAAAGTTACAGATGGTAGTTCAATTTGTATCCAGTACCATTACAAGCTCAAGTACCTAGTTAACAATTAGATGAAAAAAGGTCTGTGATAAAATCTCTCCTTTCTTTTTTCGATTTGAAATGTTGGTTTGATTTAAAGTAAATTGCTATAACTCTGCTGCTACCTTTTAGCAAATTTTCAACCGACTTCAAAAAAAGGAGGAGGTTCTCAATTCGACCCGTATGTTTTTTTTTTTTTCTATGTTTGTTACGCGATAACTCCGCCAATTATGAACCGATTTGAACAAATCTTTTTTCGGCGTATAGGTAATACCTCAAGGGTGGTCCCATTTAAATTTAATAATAAAAAAAACAACCCCCAAGGGTGGAAAATTGGGGATGAACTTTTTNCCTCAAGGGGGGGCCCATTTAAATTTAATAATAAAAAAAACAACCCCCAAGGGTGGAAAATTGGGGATGAACTTTTTTATACGCAATATCTCCGCCGATTATAAACCAATTTGAACGATTATTTTTTTGTTGAATAGGTATTATCAAAAGGATGGTTTCATGCGAATTTGAAGAAAATATTTCACCCCCAAGGGTGGAAAATTGGGGATGAACTTTTTTTTATACGCAACTAGCTGACCCGGCGAACTTTGTTCCGCCTTAATGGAAATAAATAAGCAGACTTTTTTTTTTATTTCGAACGGGATAAAAAGTATCCTATGTCCTTCTCCTGGCTCTAAACTACCTCCCTGACAATTTTCAGCTAAATCGGTTAAGCCGTTCTTGAGTTATAAGCGAAGTAACTAACACGACTTTCTTTTACGAGGGCTGCACTAAAAGTATCGGGAATGGAATATTTCCACTGTTCCAGTCATATTAAAATCTATTTAATTGCAAAGTCCAGGGTTTTAAAAATCGTATACCATTTATTTATTTAAAAAAAGATTCTCGGTCGTATCACAAGGTCTTGTCAAACTTGTTTAGTCGTTGAGAAAATGGAATTGACTCGAGAAAATTCAAGAGCGATGATTTATTATGACTTTTGAAGTGGTTTAACACAAAAACAGTGTGTTGACCGGATGATTTCTGCATTTGGTAATGAAGCCCCATCCAAAACCACAATTTATCGCTAGTTTCCTGAATTTCAACGTGGACGTGTCAAGCTCAGTGATGATCCCCGTCAAGGTCGTCCAAAAACTGCAGTCACCTAAGAAAACGTTGATGCTGTGCGTAAGCTGATTGAAGAAGATCGACATGTGATATACCGCGAAATTCAGGCAACTTTAGACATTGGCATGAGTCAAATACAAATAATCTTGCATGAACAATTAGGTGTAAAAAAGTTGTTTTCCCGATGGATACCGCATTCGCTCTGTGAAGAGCCCTTGGGCCACCCCTAAGCCGCCTATTTAGTTTTATACACACATAAATGACCTCATATTAAACACATTTACCAAATCATGCGGTAATTATTCATAATAACCGGCGATTATTCATAATTTTCACATTTATCACTTTGACCGTAACATATATGTATATAGATAGAAGATATCTCCGCCGATTATGAACCAATTTTTTTTGGTCTCAGTGTACTGCCTACCTTCAGTGGTAACATCAAGGTAATAATTAGTTAACTAAAAAGCAAGAAATAAGTAAAATTTTATAAAAAAAAATAAAACCGACTCCAAAAAACTAAGTAGTAGTCGGTGCCAAGTTTATGAAACATGTAAAGTTTGCCTGCACCGACTCCAAAAGTATCAATCATGGTATACCTACATAAATATTAATAATTCGTCCTAATAAATAAGTAGGTAATTAGTAATTATTTTTCTACGTTTTAGTGTAGGTTTTTTGGAGTCGGTTTTATTTTTTTTTATAAAATTTTAAGGGATCTATACCTTTTAAGTTGTCTTGAAAAACAAATTAATTCTTATCTAAAATTAACGTTGAAACAACCTCCTCATTTGAAAACCAGGTTCAACCCGGCGCACTGTGATTCGTGTAGAACAAGCTAGCTGGACAAAAGTCATTGTTGAATTTCTGATTATCGTTTATAAAAAACGATAAACAACATCCCAGACATTAAGGATTCCACAATTTTTTACTTTGTTAATTACCTAGTCGTGAGTAATTAACATGGTAAGTGAGGATATGAGGATAGTGTAATTTTTAATTCCTAATTTTGCTCGACTTTCGACAACACCTGACATTATTTTTTACTATGGTGACCAAATATTTGTGTGATGGATTTTGAAGATAAGGGTAAGTACTTTTTATTTTCTGTACAATAAGGTGCATAATAATGCACATAGTTTTAAAAAGTATGGCGAAATGTTGACCTTTATATTTTTCTCAAAATTTTATGTTTGGAAGACTAGAAGTTGTATGCCCCCACTTGACCCCAGTCTGGAATTTATATATATTGTAGCTGTAACCCTCTAGTATTCAAATATACCAGTTTCAGTTTGCACACTTTTGCACAACAATTTTATTTTTTCAGATTAATAAAAAATCAAGTTTTTTGATTAATGATTAAAACATTGAAAAAGTGACCAGAATAGCATGATTTTTAATTTATATTCTCAAAATGTGATGTATTGGGATCACGAA